TAATTTTTTTTTATTATTAATTTATAATACTTTTTTATTGAATAAGTATCTTATTAACCCATGAAAAGTAATTCCTTGGTTTTTACTGACATTTCTTGAATTATTTGTGCAATATCTAAGTACACAAGACGGCATATTTTTATCAAGAGATTTTTTTTAAATCAACACTACACGTGACAACTCTACAAGCGCCTAGCGAGTGACGGAGTAAAGTCACAGAACACTATTACTCCTATCGGAGAGTAAAGTGCAGTGAATGCACCGCAGTTGAGTGGAACAGAGTAGCTGAATGCAGTGTCTCCTCTAGTACGTAGTACATAATAGCGTACGTAGTACATAATAGCTCAATGTAAAAACCATATAGATTTTCATATTTTTGATAAACGTCACTATTATCTATTTAAGTTATTACACTTTTTTTAAAAGTGTCGTTATGTCTTTTTAGATATAACGAAAAAGTAAAAAAATACGTTTAAATAATTTTATTTATCTTATTATTTTAACATATAAATGTAATTTATTTAATTATATTTTGTATTATTTAATTAGTTACTAAAGGCAAACTGTACTTTTTCTATTTGATAATAGATAGCGCTTTTTGAAAACTAAAATTGAGATCTTCGGCGTAATTTCAAATTGTTGAAACTAATTTGAAACTTTAACAGCCAGACAGACAAAAATTCTAAAAACCAGTAATTTAGCTTCAGTATCCTTTATTTAGTCCAATGGTCTTGTTTTTTTCAGGAAATATTATAATTACAGACACGACTTTTCTACAGATTTCTTATATGTATAGATGACTAGACATGGACCGAGTAGTGATTCGCCAAGTACTCGGCTTTAAAAAAACGCGGTTGTGGGCGGCGTGTGGTTATTTCCCTTACACAGAGTTAGGAATATGAAACGATATGAGTAAATACAAGAACTTACTCGATCCTTTTCTTTCGATACCAAGTACTTTTAGTATCGATAATTTAAAACTGAGTACCAAGTAGTATCGAAAGAAAAGTACCTACTTGTATCAGTACTCAATCATACACCCACGGACACTGTTGATGGGTGATTACTGATTACCGTACATGTCAAATAACTCATGTTCGAGAGATTTTCGTTATCTGGCGCGAAAATGACGACTTATTGAAATCGTTTTATCGTAATACATCTAGAACTATTTATCTTTAAAAAAAATCATTCAAAACATGCTTCTGAAGGAGAAAGAAGCTGCTGATGCATCAACCAGTTACCAACCTAATGATCCTTATTTGTTGAATAGGACCGCTAAAGATGCAAATCCATATAAATGGTCGGTTTCTATTAAAGGCCAATTCCCCATCTTGGGAAAAGTAAAACTCGCCAGTTCAGTTTACAGTGAACGGCTTTTTTCAGAGGCAAGCTTATTAAATGAAGCAAAAAGGAGCAAACTAGACCCAAATAGGGTCGAAAAACTGTTTTTGCATCACAATCATACTCTCTTAAATTTTAAATATTAGTAATAATAATTTCTATTATAGATTCTTATGTACGTTCTCAATACTTCTGCTTTTTCTCATGTTCCTGATGTTTTAATGAGTCTAATATTTTTTGTCTTTTTTTTTCTCTGGAATATAATTAAGTCGTTAATAACTCGGTGTTCGACCGAACCCTAAAAAAAAATTCGAATCCGCCGAGTACCGAATCCAAACCGGGTACTCCTTCCATGTCTAATTATGACTCCAATCACACCAAAACATCATTATAAACTTTTACGTCACTTTAGTGTCATGAAATAAAATGTTTAATTTCCAATAACTAAGAATTAATTCAAACAGCAGTAACATCCATGACATCTTGAATGACGTAACTCGGTCAACGTAAGTATGTAATTACTTGTGGTTTACGGGTCTATTAGACGCTATAATAATAGCATATGATTGGTCAGTCGACGTCGAAGGCACATCGAGAAACGTCAAATTCAGTAACAGAGCGCTTTCATGTTTTTGAAATGCGTTCCTTTTAGAAAAATACACTTTAAATCTAACATATTTTAGGAAACTATTGAACTTAAAAGTCGTTACACGATTAATCGTTATATAAATATAAATAAGTTTGCGCGTCTACTGCTAAAAATAACCATATTGTCGTATCTCAATTTCAGGGCACTTTCCTTTTTGCCGTAGCCAGTATCGGAATTCGGCGTCGACATATCGAATGACCTGCAGTGTCGTGATCACTAGGAAGAGAAAGCAAAATTGGCTTCTAAAAAGCTTAGCATACTCAGTAGAATGGGACTGTATATCATGCCAGCACACCGTTTGCATCTTTACAAGGCACAGCCTAAAACAGCCGCCTCACATGGAATACTTTTCTCATTTCTGGGCCGGGGCTCCCCAGTGCGAGCTCCTTCCACTTGACCGCATAGAGCGCAGAGCGAATAGAATTGTCGACGACAGTGCTCCTTTTGATTGGCTCGATTCACTGGTGCTGCGTAGATGTTGCAACCCTTTGCGTTTTCTATCGTACTTACCACGGGGTGGGCTCAGAGGAATTGTTCGGATTAATTCTAACCGCCACATTCCATCAACGCATTTCGGGATAAAACTCACGGTATCATCCACACCATCTGGATGCTTTGCGGTCCACTATGACTATGATATTTCCTAGAAGTTTTCTTCCTTGCAAGACCTCTTTTTGAAATCATCTACACGTTAAAGAAATGAGCTTACTCCTTTTTAAAAGGCCCACAACACACCAGCTATTTCTCTGGTGTTGTAGTTGTTCGTAGGTGACGGTCGACACTTATCATCAACTGAGCCGCATGCTCGTTTGTACTCTCTATACAGAACTGTAAATCAGGCACTTCGCGCGCGTTCACTGCCTACTCCTTAAGATCACAGATTTGAGGCGATACTGCGTCCAATACTTTCTAATATCGAGAACATTCAGACTAAATTTTAGTCACGGCGGTCAATCTCAACGGAGACTACGACAAATTATAGTGCTAGTAACATAGGACAGATGCAACTCTCTATTCCTCACTCTCATAGTCCAATGGGACAGCAATCCGAAACGATTGTAGAGATCAGGCGCAGGACCAACAGAAACACCGCCAACTTTCTAAGTCCGGGCTGCTACTAAGAATTTCTTGAAAGAAAAACTCCGTAACTAATTTTTTGACCCGACTCGGGATTCGAACCCAGGACTTTACGATCAACAGCCGCGGATCTACCACTAGACCAACGGTACTCTAAGTTTGTTCCGCGATACCCCTGTAGGGGTTCCGCAAGAATTTAGAAGAAAAATCAAAACACCTCTCTCTGGTCAGTCAGTCAGTCTCAGTCGAACGTTTTGACTCCGCCCGCCGCGCGTATACTTGTGAACACGCAGTCCCTTTTATAAAAGCCGCCTCTGAATTAGACCCTATAGTTGTGAACAAGCGACTTTCGGCTCTATCTTCAAAAACATAAAGTCGAGACTGTTTACAACGCATTTTTTTGTATTTCTATTTTTATTTCCGCTTTTTGTTTATCAAAGGCGCCGACTCGAGTGTTTTTAAGAATTTTCGAGTTCGAGTCTAGGACTAAGTATAAAAGCGGTGATCGCGCGTCGCGCCTCGATGCCTGCGCCCTCTTTTCCCAAAAGAGGGTCGCTCATGATAAGGCACAATAGAGCTTAATCAGCCGGTTGCCTGTCCCCAAAGGCGGTTTTTAGGGGGTATCACTTAGGGTCCCCGGTAGGACAGTGAGTCCCCCATAACCACGATAGACCGGCTATCGTGGTATGCGTAATGCATTTTCCGCCTCCCTACGTTACAGGGTAGCCCTTTAATTGCTTCGGGCGCAAAAAAAAAAAAAAAAAAAAAAAAAAAAGTCGCGCCTCGTCAGTCAGTTGACGATTAGCGTTCGGAGCAGTAAGTTCCTACCTACCTACTTACAAGCTGGCGAATTGCGGAGTTTAAACGTGATATGAAACTAGTGTTCATTGTTCTACTGCCTGCTGTATTCTGATTGTATCAGTTTTGTACATTTCTTCTTTGGACTAAACTTTTTCTCATAAACGCAGTAACGTTGTGCATTATTTTGACCCCACCATCCTGATGTGTAACATTATTAATAAAGAAAAATGGAACGTTGGCTTAAAGGCGTTAAGGGGATATAGTAAGTCAGCTCAAATTCTAATTTCGTCTTCACTTGCCCGCGCGTCGTATGCTATGTACCGACATGTTTGTAATCACCAATACTGTAAGTAGAAAGGTCGTTAGATACTTATTTCATTAGGTTTATCATATTTATGCCTGTTTCTTAACGCCAAGCCAGTCGCTTCTTATTTTTATTACGGTTATTTCCCATTTTAATTTTACGTCGTTCTGTTGCGTAATGTATATTCTGATCGTAAGCGACACAACCTCCCCCTTCAAAGGCCGAAGCGAAGTGACCGGGCGGCAGGAATCACACTTCAAGAGTCCGATAGTTTAGGTAATTTCTTTTTACAGTGAAAATAATGGTATTTTAAAAAAAGTAAATAACATAAGCATTGCTTTATAGTTAGTTCAGTTAGTATGCAAAGTTTCATGATCTTATTTAAAGTATTTTAGGAATAACAGCGGTTTATTGTTTATTTTGAAGGTAACTTTGGATTTTTTTTTCTATCGAGAAAATTTTACGAAATCCTGTTTTCGTCTAACATAATCCTTAACATTAATCCTCAACTTTACCATATATTTATTTCAAAATTAATGCTGCAACATTTTCGGCATAACGAAGGATCTTGCTAAGCCATTTGAGATTATATTTCACCTTAAACGTGTTGCAATAACATCTTTTAATGACGCTGAATGTTCAAAAACAGTACGCGCGGAGAATACAGCAATTACCGATCCAGACGATGATGCCACGACGGCAAGCTCCACGGTTTCAAAGACAACAAAAAGGAAGTATGATGAATCATATATCAGTTTCGGATTTGTTGATTCCAACGGCACACCTCTCTGCATGTTATGTAGTAAACTGCTTTCTAATAGTTCCATGGCAGCTGCCAAATTGCGCAGACATTTAGAAACTGTACACCCCGAGTCTAAAGACAAGGATAAAGAGTTTTTTGTTCGTAAAAAAGAACAGTTATCGGAAAGTCAAAAAAATATGATGCATGTAACACAAACTATCAATGAAAAGGCCACGGAGGCATCATATTTAGTTAGCTATCGTATTGCACAAGCAGGTGAAGCGCACACTATCGCTGAGAATTTAATAAAGCCATGTGTGTTAGACATAACAAAATGTATGCTCGATGAAAAATCTGCAAAGCATCTTTCTACTGTACCGCTATCAAACGATACTGTTTCTTGGCGAATCCATGATCTGGCAAGCCACGTCAAACAAGAACTAGTTGCACGTCTACAAAAAACACGATTCGCCTTGCAAATGGATGAGTCAACTGATGTCACTGGTCTGGCTATCTTGCTGGTTATCGTGAGATATCCATATGAACGTTCTTTTGAAGAAGACATGCTTATGTGTTTACCGCTGCCCACAAACACTACCGGGGAAGAAATTTTTAATAAAATAAACATATTTTTTAAGGAAAATAATCTTAGTTGGAACGATTGCATTGACATTTGTACGGATGGGGCCAAGGCGATGACAAGTAAAACAGCAGGAGCAGTATCAGGAATAAAAAGTAAAGCGCCTAATTGTAGTTCCAGCCATTGTATTCTGCGATGAAGCAAATGCCGTCAAATCTAAAATTAGTTACGGATGAAGCGGTAAAAATAATTAATTTTATCAAATCACGACTGCTACAATCCCGATTGTTCTCATTATTGTGTGAAGATTATGGCAGCAAACATAAAACACTGCTGCTCCATACAGAAGTGCGATGGCTGTCTCGGGGTAAAACTTTAACAAGTTACAAATGTTTCTTTCAACAGATACAATTTCTTTTAATTTGAAAGACCGTTTGTATGATAAAACTTGGTTATTCCGATTGTCTTTTACGGCGGATATCTTTCAAAAACTGAACGAATTGAATTTATCATTGCAAGGTAAACAGACAACAGTGTTCCAGGCCTATAACAAAATAACTGCCTTGAAAAGAAAATTAGATTTTTGGATTATTTGCGTTAGTAAGAGAGAAATAGAAAGCTTTACGTCACTCAGGGAGTTTGTTAGCGATAACGACTCGGAAATATTTCAAGATGATGTGTTTGAAGAATTGGTCCAATATCTCACTTCGATGCGCGCATCTTTTAAAAAGTATATGATTTTTTTTTCATTTTTAATATCTTCTATTATTGTACTTGTCAAAGTAAGTAATAATTAGTAACTGTTACATTGTACTTTTATTATGCTTATATAAAAAAGAATACACTTTCGAAAACTATTGTTTTATTTGTAGGGTTCCGTCTAGTATTTTGCTTGTCAAAAAGGGTAACCAAAAAAAGTTTGAGAACCGCTGCACTAGACCAACAAGGCATTTTAGTGTAGCAATAATAAAATATCAAATTAGAACTTATAATAATAATTTATTTATAAAATTAGTCCACATCTTCAGGCCGTACTGGATGTGATAAAGGTATAACAGATTTTTTATTAACATCTCTTGAACAGGCTTTTCTCATATCTGAAAAAATCATAACAAAATATTTAACAAACTTCAAAAAGGTGCGTATATTTATACTTTTACAAAGTTTCAATACAATTATCAACCACATCCATTGAAAATTTGAAAGTATGGAAAAAGGCAGCTTTCATTGAGTTAATGGACCGAATAACAACTGAACTCTAAATCATGTTATTGTGGTTTACGGATGGCCCAACAATATTACCAAATAGGTCGAAACAGCTTATTTTAATAAAACTCATGGCAGGGATTTTGCCATAGTTGACACACTTGGCAGGCAAATTGGCCATCACAAAATGCTGCTGTCCATTTCCTGTTGCAGTTTTCCTCTGTCGCCTGTAACGACATCTATGAGACGATTTGTTGTATGGTATGTGCCAAATCAATTGAGAATAACGGACAATGACCTTTCGGTCGGTTAACCAGGGGTTACAAACCTTCAATATATAGGCACATTTTATATGTAGTACTTTCTTTATTTATAATGATTTTTTAAATTATTTTTTATAATGATTGATATAATATATATTTATTAACTATTATTAAAAAGTTATGTAAAAGATCGCTGTAGAAGAAAAATCATCTATTGTTATAAAGTACTTTATTCATTTAACAACAAAAAGCATTAATTTATAACACATATACAGATTCGAGTGATAACGACACCGAATAAGTACGTACTTAATCAAAAGATAAAACTTTATTTTCAATATTATATAAGAACTTTATTTTTATTCGGTGCATGCGGATCGGACCAAAAAAGACGACACATCTCTGGCTGCCATTGTCACGTTTCTTTTAGAACGAACTGACGTAACGCACGTTTTGTTTATTTTAAAGGGATAAATTTACAAAAGCTCAATATAACACATTTTTCGCGATGTACCGTAAGATTTTACGATGTTGATGACATGTCAGCAACACGTGAGCCGCCGTTTCTTCCTCTCCCATGCATGCCCTGCACAGGGGGCTATCAGTAACACCTATGATGGTGAACAAATGTTTGTTAAAAGAGCAATGTCCTGTAATAAGTACTTATTACTATCCTGATCTGTGGCTTGTTCAGTTTCATTAGAACCTTGGTTAGACGACTGTTTATTTCAGGCAGGGCCTCCCTAGCTTGTCTGCAGTCTACTAAATGTTTCCAAAGCTGAGCGTGTAAATTATTGAAGTATCTACGTACCAGTAAACTAACGTAGCCAAAGGGGATTGGTATTATTGGTTCCGGCCCTATAGTTACCAGAGCTGATCCCCTTCTGGCCAGTTCATCTGCTGCATCGTTGCCTCTAGATCCACTGTGTCTCTTGATCCATTGCAGAGTCACATTGTTGTACTTACATACCTCATTCAATCGTTTATGGCACTCGTATATCAGTCACGAGTTCGTCACATTGCAACTCAGAGCTTGTAGTACCGCCATACTGTCGGTCAGTATTCTGATGGAGAAGTCTTTCACCTCCCTAGCATCTATTTCTATGGCCGCTTGGATGACACCCATGCATTCAGCCCGCAAGACTGTGTTGTGCATATGTGGATATTAAGGTCTTCAGAGAAAGCCCCAGACCCCACACCTTAATTTGTCTTAGAACCATCAGTGAAAACTTTGAGCTCTCTTGGACCCTTCCTTCCAGATGGTCAGTTTCCTTCAATTGTATCCTGTACTTCTTATCGAATACAAATTGTTTTGGGATCCTATCATACTTGGCTTGTAAGATAGGAATTTCTGAGTAAATTCTATCAATTATATCTGTATGGGGACTCTACTCTTACTTAAAAGATTTAGGGCCTTGAGTCTAATGGCAGCTAAAGTTGCTTCTTGTTGTATATGTAGATGAAGCGATGTTAGCTCCAGCATAGCCTCCAAAGCTGCTGTTGGTGTAGTCCTTATGCAGCCCGTGGCAGCCATACAAGCCAAACTCTGGTAACGCTGAAACTTTCGTATAGTAGTGGCTTCATTGGTTTTGGTCCACCATACCATTTATGTGATCATGGGCCGAATTACAGTTTTGTACAGCCACAGTATAATTTTGGCGTCAAACCCCATCGTTTGCCAATCATGTTTCTGCATTGCCAGAAAGTTAAACTAGCTTTGCTGATTTTGTATTCTATGTGTTTATTCCAGTTAAGTTTCCTGTCCAAGGTAATACTTAGGTATTTTACCTCGGAGGAAAGCTGGAATTTTGTGCTGAAAAGACTTGGAAGATGATAGTTATTGAGCATTCGTTTTTGTGTGAACATTACTATAACCGTTTTGTTTGGATTAACGGTTAGGTCATATTCCCTGCACCATCTCTCCACAATACGGAGAGCCGCTTGGGTCAGGTCGCACACAATGCTTGCTGTCTTTCCAGAGACCAGTATTGTCAGATCATCTGCATAACCGACTGTGTAGAAATGCTTAGCGTTTAATTTGCTGATGAGTTTTGAGATGACCATATTCCACAGGAGCGGTGAAAGAACCCCACCCTGCGGGCATCCTTTCATGATCTGAATTGTCTGAGATTTACCAGCAATCTTTATTGTTCGTGTACTGAGCATGTCTTTACTATCCAGTCAATCAGTGCCGGTTCAACATTATGTCTACTTAGGGCACCTTTTATGCTGGAGAAATTTGTTCTGTCAAAAGCACCTTCTATGTCTATGAAGGAGCCTAGACATATTACTTTGTTTTGGATGGCCTCTTCAATCTTTGTTATTACATGGTGAAGTGCCGATTCTGTCGATTTACCTAAGCTATAGGCGTGTTGTATTTCGTGTAGCGGTAAGTTATTAGCGCCGACCCTCTCAACTCCCGTTCACACATCCTCTCCATCATCTTTAGGAGAAAGGATGTGAGGCTAATGGGTCTGTAGGATTTAGGGTCTGTATAGTCATTATTACCTGGTTTGGGTATGAACGTGACTTTCACTTCCCTCCATCCCCTAGGAACATATTTAAGAGCCAGACGTGCCCCCATTATGGCAACAAGTCTGACTATTAGGACTTCACCCCCCCCCCACTGTAGGGTGTGAAGTGCCGGGAATAAGCCGTCAGGTCCTGCTGCATTATAGGGTTGGAAACTATGAATGGCCCAAAGGATTTATTCCATCGTCACCACTCTTTGTGCTAAGTCCCAGTTTTCTTTTGTTGGTGTCAGTGCATCTTCATGCCGGTTCACCTTTTCAACTACACAGCAACCTGGGAAGTGAGTATCAATTAGGATGCGTTGGGTTTCATCCGGCGATGTTGAGTAGCTTCCGTCTGGTTTCTTTAAGGAGATAGATCCCGGCGTGTTTTGTTTAGCTAGGATTTTTCTTATCCGATTTGCTTGTTCACAGGTTTCTATTCTACCACAGAATTTGCGTTATTTTGCCCTACATTGCCCTATTTAGGGCTTTCCTTACCTTCTTACGTTTCCTGTCTAGTTCTTTACCCCGCCACGGTTGCTTTTGCTCAGCATGTTTTGGTGGAGTGATTACTGGACATGGTTCATGGTAGCTATCGATCATGGCTTTAGTGGCAGCTAGAATGGAACTTAACCGTGAACAATTGCACGCTATGATCTATTATTATTTTAAATTTGGTTTAACCGAACAATTAAGTTTAAAACGGTTACAATCAGTATTAGGGGAGTCATCTCCATCACGCGCAACAATTTTTAGGTGGTTTGCTGAATTCAAAAAGAGGTAAAATTAACCTTAAAGATGAGATGAGATGAAAGAACCGGGACCCTGCAAACAGCAGTAACGGCAGAAAATGTATAGGACTACTGAAATGTTGGTGCGAGAAGACCCACGAATAACATATTATATGGACATCGAAAAGATTGTAGGCATTAGTTCGGGGAGCATTCATACCATCCTACATCAACACCTTAGAGTGAGGAAGCTCTGTTGTCGATGGATCTCTCGTTTGCTCTCCGAAAGCGAAAAATTCGTATCGATTGGTGCCATGAAACGCGTCTACGTTTTGAAAACTGGGCATCTAGGCGTGTTTCAGAAATCGTTAATGGTGACGAAACATGCACCTATCAATATAATCCGGAAACAATCATCGTTATGGGTTTACTCAGAAGAAGTTAAGAACTCGGTCGGTAACTGTTCTTCTGAACAGCGCAACGCGACTCGCAACGCGAAACGGACATTTGTCGACGTCAATGCTGGAAAATTGTAGGTCACTCAATTCTGAATGGTATACTACAGTTGCATTACCCAAAGCTTTTCAAGCTGTGCGGGAGAGAAGACCAAAGACCAGGCTTCGGGGAATCATGCTGCATCACGATAATGCCTCTTCACATACCTCCCTTAAAACAAAAGCATTTATTGAGGAATCTGGTGTTGAAACTCTAAGTCACCCACGCCACAGCCCTGACTCAGTGATTCTTTTTGTTCACAAGAGTCAAAGAAAGAATAAAAGGCTATCTTTTTTCAAACACCGAAGAAGCCGTGGCTGCCTACAAAGAAGAGATTTCCCACTTGTCAGATCAAGACTGGCAAAAGTGTTTTCAGAGTTGGTTTAGGCGAATGGAACTTTGTATGGAATATGATGGAGGATATTTTGAAAAGATGTAAAATAAATATTAATAGTATCTAGAATACTTTTTGTATATCTCGAAATTTATTAACTGGGGACACTTAATAAATTTCGTACATTTAATTACGCCGTTTTCCCGATTGGCCCTGTTTTTACATTTTGGCTTCATCCACCATTGTTCTTCTCATGCATTCTCCTGTTTTAGCTTTTTTAATAATAAGCTCTTTTAATGAAATAACATATATATTTTAACCTTTGGCAATGCTTACAAACGTAAACCTAACCGAAATAAAACATTTTAATCAAAATAAAATCGTATTCTTAAATTTTAAAATAAAATCAGCCACATTAATTCAAATAACTAGGTATGTAAAAAAAACAATTCAATTGGAGTTACTGCTCTTCTGTCCTCGGGTTTGCCAGTCACTCAGACTTTTTCAATAATAGCATCCGGGGTACAGCCGAAGAGGGTTCCGAAATTGTTAAACCAATTTCATCAACTTCGTCTTCGTGGAGCCAATCGACATTATTAGACGATATTTCACATCGGCGCACATTGCAGCTTATTTGCCGTGCTGGAAGCAAGTGGCTGTGGCCGTAGGTACTCTACTTTCACGACGGTTTTGGACAGTCTTGCTATGCACTTAACGACTGTGAATTTGCATACTCTTGTGCAATGTGAAATAGATCCCACAGGTCGGACATATTCTGTTTTTGAGGTAGGATTGTTGTACTGATGGGCAAAATAAATCTTAAGGTAACTGTTTAAAAACAAAAGGAGGGACAGATCAACGGAAAATCTCACAAGTGGTGAGAACTTGCATGGTACTTTATCTAGTTGACTAGGTACCACGAGCTTGCTTCGGTTTGAATAATTTCGTCGGCTTGCAGCAGGAAAACATCCGGTAAGACAGATTTCAACGCATTCCTTGAGCGGGAAAGGCAGGATTCGTATGCACATTTAATCACTTGCAAGAAATATTGCGATTCACGTGAGTGCTAAAACCACGCCAGATTAGGTTCTGTTGAAACATGCAAGCTATCTTCGGGCTTTCTATATCCTGCAATGTGCTTCTACGTAAACACTAACGAATACTGAGAACGACAAAGAAATAAAAATGACGTACAATGCAGTCGAAGGACTCCCCGTAAAACATAAACGAAAAGGGTTGCTAACTTGGGAGAACAAAATGAAAATGACGTACAATGCAATCGAGGGATTCCCCATAAAACATAAACTAAAAGGATTGCCAACTTGGGAGGCTTTAATTCCATTGTTTTTTATTTAAATAATGAAAACAATGTTACATAACGCGTTGTTCGAGACCCGCTCCCGCCCCTATAACGCATCGTATCGTTTTACAAGACCCCCCCCCCCTCCTCCCTAATTGCGTTACGTAATACTTGAACGCCCTCTTATCACAATCTTCTTTTGTATATGGGCATAGAATTTGTATCTGCTGAGCTATTCTACTCAATAAACACTTTCACACTGACATTAGCGAATGATCAAAACAGCCATAAAAAAAAGAAAGAAGAAGTTTTTATACAAAAAGTACTTAGTGTCGGAAGAAATATATTAAGAACTTGTATTTAGTCGTATTGTTACATCACTAATTGTGATGGGAACATACCTTCTGTGTACTAAATATCGGGAATTTGTCAATAAAACAAAAAATACAAATTATTCATCTAAATTTATTTTATCGCCTTCAAAGTAGGCCCCATCGCTTGCAATACAACATCTCCAACGCTTCACCCAGTCTTCCGTACATTTTTCATAGGCTATTTGCGGTATGGCCTTTAGCTCATTCAGCGAATTTTTTGTTATGGCTTCTATCGACTCAAAACGTTTTCCTCGAAGTGGTAATTTTAACTTGGGAAATAAAAAAAAGTCAGACGGAGCCATATCAGGTGAATACGGTGCTTGGTCGAGAACTTTTGTTGAATTTTTTCGCTAAAAACTCTCACTATAATGGCTGTGTATGATGGTGCATTATCATGGTGCAGCATCCATGAGTTGTGTTGCCACAAATCTGGACGTTTTCGGCGGATACTCTCACGCAAACGCTTCATGACGCCTAAATAATATTCTTTATTCACTGTTTCTCCTTTTGGAAGGGATTCGGAGTGAACCACACCACGGTAGTCAAAAAAAACTGTCAGCATCACCTTGATTTTGGAGCGACTTTGCCGCGGTTTTTTGGGTTTTGGCTCGTTTTCGAGACGCCATTCTGAAGACTGTTGGCTTGTTTGCATGTCGTACTCATAAACCCATGTCTCGTCGCCAGTTATTATACGTTTTATAAAGGTCGGATCCGTAGAAGCTCGGGAAACCATGTCTTCAGCGACATGCTTTCGCTGGGCTCTTTGAACAAAATTGAGCACTGATAGAATCAGGCGTTACTTTGCGGAAATCCATTATAATAAAAAATAAAAATATAAATTTCTTTGCAACTTTCCGCTAAACATATAAAATGATGTGTCTTACCTGGATTGAAGCGCACCTCCCGCCCTCCCTCAATTGCATACACTAACTCCGTCACCACTAGACCAAGCACCACTACTCTCAACACCACTATTCCAGGCAAGACACACCATCAACGATAATACGACACGTGTTTCGCCTCTACACGAGGCATCCTCAGGTACTACGCCGTAGAGTCTATATTCCTTAATATATTCCTTAATATAGACTATATTATATATTATTTATTATTACTTAACCGTAGAGTCTATATTACCTGAGGATGCCTCGTGTAGAGGCGAAACACGTGTCGTATTATCGTTGATGGTGTGTCTTGACCTCTTTTACGCGGGTCTTTTTATTGACATATTCCCGATACTTTTTACGCAGAGTAGTATTTGGTATGGTCGAACTGTAATTGCTCTGTACCTAATTGCGTAAGCAATTGCATGATTAATTGGGTAAGCAAGAGAGCAAGTTGAAAATCCCCTCTCACACTATTATTATTTTTAACAATTTACCTCTTGATGTATTTCCGAAATATAATATTGTTACGAGCTTAGCGTTCGTGACAATAAAACTGCCGATTGAATTACCAAAATTGACACTTTAATTACTGAACACCTATTAAAACTTAAATCACACTAATAATTATTCACACTTAACACTTTAATTCACTTTATTTCACTCCGAAAGCTTTGCTCGTATCGCTAATTCAATACTGCCGCGGTCGCGGCACTCAACGGCTTTAAATAGGCCTTTTCCACCGAAACATCTAGAATATTCCAGCAAATACCGGTCCAGACCGACTATGCGGAGATAGTTCGAGTGTGTTTTCCAGAAAGCTTAGTTATTCTATTCAATACTAGATGGCGCTGGAGGTGAAAGTTACAGCATGGCATTTTCTACAAAGCTCTCCTCGCTCTATTCCCTGACACTAGATGGCGCTAGTGCCAGGTACCAAACATCAACTTAGGCGCGCAACATTATATATTTTATTATGCATTACTAATCATAAAATAAAGTTCATTACCTATATATATGTAATAAGATTATCTCTGTCTGAAATGGCCTATTTTGTCACATTTGTTAAATTTAAAACTTAACAGGTATGACAATAAACTAAGGCTTTTGTTGGCACAAAAAAAATCAATTTGAATTTTACCAAAAGAAATGATGTGTAAGGTGGCTTTAGTTAAAACGATATTAGACATTAGCAAGTTTTTTCAAACAAATTCTTTACAAAATAGCTCTAATAATATCTGCACAATAGCAAAACACTTATTGTTAAGCACAAGTTTCTGCAAGTTATTCTGGCACAAGTGTGTGCGTAATAACTAGGTAAAGATTCAAAAAAAATATGTAAGATGTTAGGTTAATCTTTAACAACATAAAATAATATATTTATATTATTTACCGTAAGCATCTTCATCTGGATCTCCTGAATAATATTCCAATACTGTTCTATATACAATATATCCCAGGTTCTTGTACATATTAATTGCAACCTTATTGCTTACTCTTACAAATAGATCAACGAAATAAGCTTTTTTTCTGTAATATATAAAATATTATTATTACAACTGATCAAAACGTAGAAAAATTGTTAAATTGAAAAATTTTAATCAATGTATTTATGTAACTAACTTTTCAGAGACATCTTCAAGTATGTTCATCAAAGTCGCTGCTACACCTAATCTTCTATAATCCGGGCTTACAGTCAAAGCTGTTACATGACCATGCCAATTTTCTCCATGTCCTTCAGCTTTACCCATTACTAAAACATGCAGTGTTTGCTAAATTATTATAAGCAATATTTTTCGTCCAACAAAACCATTTTAACTTTTCATACTAAAAAATCTGTTATTTAATACCTATATATTTATAGTTAATATTTTTAACTGTATAATGATTGTATACTGTCTGTACTTTCAATAATATAACATCAAGAACATCATTATTATTACGTCCCACCATAATTCCATTGCTAAATGAGCACTGTCCTTTGCCTAGGAATGCCAGAAAACATGGTCCTAATCTACCTACATTAATCAAATTCCCGCATTTCTAGTGGAGGACTGCCTACACACTTTATTTCCTGGTATAAAACTGCCATTCAAGAACTTGTCTTCTCCATTGGTAGGGTATGTTTATTGGTTTTTGGTGGTTTATTGATTTTACATAGTAAAGCCATGATGCAGATATATTTGAGTTGTAACACAAATGGGTCGGTTTGACCTGGGCAGGACCACGCTCTCACGGAATACCAGCATAAAATAGCAAAATAATGCTGCTGTTTCGTATGGTGAGTGTAGAGAACTGGAAACCCTTTTTAGTGGAATTGAGGCATTCCATGTTAGTCCTCAGGGGTGACAATGCATTTGCATTTTGATCCTTAGTTGAGGATAAGTGTGGATGTCTATAGGCGCAGCAATTCTACACAATCAGGCGGACTGTGTGCTCGTTATCACCAAATGCTATAAATAAATATTCTTTGAGGAATATGGTCCGCCAATTGCCACTTCAGCTTATTGATCCGTTGGTCTATATTGATTACTTTGGTTCTACTGTAGATATCTCCAGTTTGAATTCTATTACACAGAGGAACTATGGAGCTCTCTCTATAGGTGTTTGGCGATAAGAGTCACTCAGTGACCATGAGTGTCCTCATATGACCAACAAAGAAGTACCATGTCTCAGATCCACATGTTGTCACTGCATGTTGCTGCACTGGTTGTACTCTTTTTTTAATGTTTTGTGGTATGTGTGAAAAGATGAAGTGTCATATTCTTCTGATCATGCCCAGCAGAGTTGGATCCACCAATCAACCTCTCAGACGAAGTTGGACTTACCTAGTCAGAAAATTTGTCCTAGTTAAATATGCTTTTTGACAACTTTGAGCATAGTGCTCCCAACAGCTACACTAGCCATCAAAAAATCGGCCCACCTGCGTTTTTGCCGCAAATCACGTTTTTCTAAAGCAGAACCAATAAAAGCGTTTAAGTACTGAAATGTTTTATTTAACTTGTTTATTTACACCAATTTAATCACAGTTACAACATCAAAATGATTTTTTGAAAGTAATTTTCATTTAAAAACCAAAATGTTTAGTTTTTCACGATTATTTTTATTAATTTTCAATACGCTCTAGTTTTTATGTATTGAATTTTATGTACACAATTGTTGCAATTTAATATTGCGTATTCCCTCCTCTTACTCGAATGACAGCCTGCATTCGCCGTTTTAATGACCTTATCAAGATTTTGATGGTCTCTTGAGGGATTCGGTTCCATTCTTCCCTAATGGCGGTTTCAAGGTCTCCTAACGTTGTAGGGACTGGATTACGGGCTCTAACCTTTTGTTTTAGGGTGTCCCACATGTGCTCTATTGGGTTGAGATCAGGGCTTCTTGGTGGCCACGACATAACCCGAATGCCGATCTCTTCAAGGTAATCGGTTGTGATGCGTGATACGTGTGGTCGTGCATTATCATGCATTAATTCAAAGGTCTCTCCAATATAGCCGACGTTTTGCACCACATAGTCTTCTAAGATCTCTGTGTGTGTGAAAGCACCTCTTCGTATGAAAACCAGCTCAGTGCGTCCAGTCAAAGACATCCCAGCCCAAAACATTACAGAGCCTCCACCATAACTGAGAGTTTCTCTTATGCAACACTGGGTATAACGTTCACCTGGTCGTGGCATGACATTACGGCGTCTGTCAGAACCATATAAAGTCATTCGACTCTCATCACTAAAAAGAACTGACTCCCATTGGCCTATAGTCCAGTTGATGTGGTTACGCGCAAATTGAAGTCTGGCTTGTCGATGAGCTGTGGTCAATTGTGGTCTTGTTGCTGTCTTGTGAGGTCTTAAATGCTCACGAAGTCTCCTTCTCACAGTACTATCACTTATAGCTACACCTCGATCTTCACGTAAACGTCGCTGGAGATCAACACCAGATAGGTACCAATTTCGTAGAGATGATAACACTATAAATCGGTCATCCCTTTGAGTTGTCACCCTATGTCTTCCATATCCAGATCTTCTTCGATACTGCCCAGTCTCCAGAAACCTTTGGTAAGCTCGTTGCACTGTAGAACGGCTCAGATTTGACCTCCTGGCCACGACACGTTGACTTAAGCCTTGTTGTAGCAAAGCCACAACTTGGGCCGCCTCAGCTTCAGTAGTGTCCATTATTTTTAGACAAAGTAATCAAAGCTACAGCCTCAGTAAATAAACTTAACGTTATTAACGAGAATTCCTTACAAAGTCTGTGTCGGACTGAAATAACTGTTCGAATTTGTTCCGACGTAAAACAACGAAATCAGCACTCAACAGTATTTTGTATAAAAAATTGTAAAGTACCTTCAAGTGCAATAAGATTTACGACAAACAAGACCCTCAAAATAAAAAACAAATGTGTGAAACAGCTTTTAAGTGAAACAATCGATAAATTTCAAACAAAAAATGGGTGGGTCGATTTTTTTGATGATGAGTATATATGCTTTTATCTTCTCTTCATTCATTCTGACAATGATAAGGGTGTATCTATTCGAATCTTTGTAGAAACCTACATAGACAAATTAAATATGAATACATGTAAAATCCTCCAATAAGGAACATGGATTAATGAGTGTATAAGTCCTCTCTTTTTTTACTACCAGTTTGTTGTCACAGCATGCAGTGATATTTAAAGGCTTTATATTACAAAAACTTAAACATAATAAATCAACAACACATTACTGTATCCCATTATTTCACCACTGGGTGATTCTGCAACTTGAAAATACTCCGGCCAATGAGCTAGGTACTGTGTATAAAATGATAAACCATATGTTTCTGTAAGAGGATCTAAGTTTCTGAAAACAGTCAAAATTAAATTATATAATGCAAGTAATAGAACAAATAGAAATTAGTGGTTATGCTTTAGAATCAAAATGGTGTTTAGTTACATAATAAATAATGGGTAAGGTCAAGATTATAGTGTGCCTGTGGGGCTTAGTTGACACACAGTGAACGAAGAGCCACCTAAATAGCAAACTCATTTTGGATGTGAGTAATTGGTGTATAAGAAAATACTTCTTTCACCCTGCCCTCTGCCAAAGATTTTTTTAAAATATAATAATAATTGTATTTGCCAATGTTGACAAAATGGTAGGTGGGCAACACAGTTTCTATTTTAGTTATTAGGAAAACGCTACTGGCCATCTCTAGAAGCCATTATGATGAAATATCATTATTTTTTTTAGTTCTTTAAAGTTTGCTTTGTTCCAATAAAAAAGAGTTTAGTTTTTTGACTCCACTCACTCCACTCAGAAGGGTTAGATGCAATCATATATTAATGAACAATGTAGCAGTGTAATTTCAAAAAACTTATAATTAGTATTTAAGAGTACCCGGTTGACCGAGCTTTGCTCGGTTTTTTTTTTTAAATTACATTCATAAATTACATACTGATGAAACATAAATAATATTTTTTGATGTTATTGACAGAATAGAAAAAATTGAACTGGTTATTTGAATAAAAAATCATGAGTAAAAAGTTATTAAAATTTTCGTATTTTTAAAAAATACTAAAAAAAAGGGCTTGAAATAATAGATTTTCTCACAAAAGAAGGGAACTTGAAAAAAAAAAGAAAAAAGGCGGAGCAGAGACAGGATGCGAACCACAGAACTCCGATATCACGCCCGACCCATTTCCCACCTGAGCTATTACGATTGTTAGTGGTCTGTCAAAATTTACCTTCTTATATTGTAGCAGTTTTTTTATTGCCTGAAAACACAGAAAAAAGGACATTTTCTAAAAATAAATCCTAGCTAGATCGATTTATTGCCCCCGAAACTCCCTGGACACAAAATTTTATGAAAATCGTTGAAGCCGTTTCCGAGATTCCGAAAAAAAAAAAAATATACAAGAATTGCTCCTTTAAAGGTATATTTAAGATATATATAACCACGCTTGTGGATGGGAGATATTATACTACTTTTTTTATAGTAAAGGGGGCAAACGAGCATACGGTTCACCTGACGTTAAGTGACTACTGCCGCCCATGAACAACTGCAACACCAGGGGAATTGCAGGTATGTTGCCGGCCTTTTAGAAAGGAGTAAGCTCTTTTCTTGAAGATCACTAGGTCGTATCGGTCCGTAAAAATCGCCGGTGCTACAATATTCCACAGAGAGGTCGTACGCGGAAGAAAACTTCTAGTGAAACTATCAATGGTGGACCGCCAAGAATCCAGATGGTGTGGATGGTATCGGGAGGTTTGCCGCATAGTGCGTTCATGAAATTTGGCGGCTGGTATTAATCCGAACAATTCCTCAGAGCACTCCCCGTGATAGATGGGAAAGAAAATGCAGAGATGCAACATCTCTTCGCAGCGCCAGTGAATCGAGCCGATCGCAAAGCACTCGGTCGTCGACGATATACTGTGTATACTGTGGCATAGCCTCTTCTCAACTATAGCCAGGGGCTGGGCTCTAAATAAGATAGTATGTATTTTATTCGTCTTTTACTTACACGTTGTTAAAATATAACATATCTTCACAAGTAAAAGGACGTATAGTCGTCATTTTAATATTAGTTGCCGCAACTCGACTCAAATTCACAAGCTATTAAAAATACTAATAACTGTAGAACACGGCATAGAATATTAGAATTAGAATCATTTAAATATATTGGAATTTCAGCATATACAAAGGTACTCTGATTCTGTTTCTGTGTCTGTGATTGACGTAGCGTAGATTAGGGATGTACGATGATAATCGATGTTTGATGATCATCGATATTAAATATTAAAACATCGGTGCTGCCACATGTCAAACATCGAAACATCCATGTCAGTGAACCCATAATCAAATAACAGGAACTTGTGAATAATGCAAACCCGCGAAATCAGTATTAACTAAATCTTACATCTCCTATTAAAGGTTTAAACTTTTGAATAATACAGAATTCCTGAACGCATCCATCACTTAAAAAAATATCATTATGGTGTGTCAAACTTATAACTTTTCATCTAGTAACTGTAATGTCACTGTAGTCTCCGTTTTCGCTTTATTATTTTGTGGTGTCGTTGCATGTTTTCGACTGTGTCCTAATAAATACTCTACGTAAATTGATATGACTGATATTAATATTTAATTTCACTGCATAGTGCATTTGACTGTGTGATTGCGTGAGTGAACAAAGGTGAAGAGAAAAGTCTATTATTATGTTTTGGCGTATTTTGGTAATTTTTCCCTATAATAATATTTTTTATTTTGCGATAGGAGTAGTAGATACAAAAACTATGGCTAAATTCTTTTATACCAGATTTGTGAGCGTATTGGAACATTTAAATATTAAAATAATAACATTCATCAATCATAATCATCGGCAAAAATGTTGGACTATATAACAAATGAACTAGATATTTAACTTTTAATTTTCTTAATTACTGTTTGACACCTAAATTTTTATTTACTTCATTAATAATAAACCATTAGCAACATTAATAATATTTTATTCATCTAATTCTAAGGTACATTTGTAAAAACCATCGATAATGGCCAACATCGATGTTTTGAGTAGAATAAACATCGAACATCTATGTTAAGCTATCGATATCAATAAGTTTCTGCAACATCGACCATCCCTAGCGGAGTCTGTATGGAGTGTAGAGCATATACTTACAGTAATCTATGGTGTAGATGTAGACCGTAGACAGAAAACCTATAGACTAATGATTAGCGTGGCCCCGAGTGATAAAGAACGATAACGTAGTTTTAGGTTATACAATAATCTTTATGACTTTTAAACATATTTAGATAAAATTTTTAATTGTTGAACTGAACTGAACAAGATTCACCAATCTTAAGTTCACAAAACACTTTTTTCTCACTTAAAACAACTTGTAAGCTCTTTAAATCGCTAAGAACTGTCAAAAGTGGCAAAGTGTAGTTTGCTAAACAAAAAAACCGGCACGGAGAAAGGGACAATCACACCGCTCTGTCTCATTTCTATGCAAGATGTATGCATAAATCTATCTTTTTCGTGTGTGAATACGAAAAAAGGCGTCAATTTGTCTATAGGTTTCTCTGTCCACGATGTAGACCGTAGATGTAGACTGTCTACCACCAAATACTGTAGGAAATAGTGTTGCCAACACTCTTTAAAGAAATAGCGCTGGATTTGGATATTATTTGAAAAAAAAAATAGCACTAAATTATAAAAATAATAAAAAATTGTTATTATTTTTAATTAAAAATTAGATAAGAAGACAAAAATTATTTACAAATTTACTAGCCACTCTTCTTCATCATCAGAATCTTATACTTTTTGAACAATTTCTTGACTCTCCTGCTGAGTAGAAATGGGAGGTTCTGCTTGTACTGTAGTGGAATTTTGACAGTTTGAATGTATAGGTAGACATCCTTGCTGCCTACTTTTTTGTCACTTTTTTTGGAATTTCATAATAAAGCAAGTCGAATTAAAAAAAAATCAAACCATTTCTAAAATATAAAATCGAATTGAGAGTATTAAGATTCGTACGGATTCGTAACTTTGATCTAATTACGTTCATCGGATTAAAAATCCTTTTGATGTCAGCGTTCGAGTGGGGTAAAACCAAAACATGTAAAGCAAGTCAATTCTCGAAATGAATTGTTACCACCAGCATCTTTGTCTTCTTTAACTTCCGTCAAAAATTGTATAGTGTTATTTGTGATTACTGATTATCCATACTTCTGATAGTATAGCACCACTGAACAACGATTTTATTTAACTCATCTGCACTCATGCCAAAACTTTTAGTTAATTGAATGATTCTCAACTCTATGTCTGTCTTTAAAGTTTCGGTAATATTAATTATATTCATTTTTTAATGTGTTAAAATTCGTTGGCAATCTCTTTTAATAATTTTACTGTAAAGTTAACTCATCGTTTATGTCATTTCTGACTTGGAAAAGAGTTATTATACTTATTGTTTTTTTCTAAGTCAGAAAACGTTTCCAATTACTTTTCAAAATTGTAAGTGGGGTATGGTGCCGGGTCTAAATAATCTTCAATTTTATCTATTGTTAAAATATCGATAGAATGTCGTCAAATAATGCATATTTCTAATTTATGAGGCTTTAAATGCTTGCTACACTGTTGTTTTAGTTATTTTGAATGTTTCCGTTCCGTTACATGTTATTATTTTAAAGAAGAGGAATATTATTTAAAAAGCGCTAGATTGGGCGCTAAGCGCTATATTTTTTTGTTGAGCGTTGACAGGGCCTAAAAAGCGTTAGATCTAGCGCCAAAAGCGCTAAGTTGGCATCACTAATAGAAAGCCTACGGTATAATACGTGCAGCTCCACTCAAAACATGGCAATCATGCACACTAGTGCCTCTGATGGCATGAGTTGTTGAATTTTGATGAACAGATGGACGGAGGCAGTAAAGTCCAAGGGGGAGGCATTGGCCGTTAGTTTGGACATTGCGAAGGCCTTCGATCGGGTTTGGCACAAAGCGCTCCTTTCGAAGCTCCCTTCCTATGGGCTTCCCGAGAAATTGTGCGATTGGATTACCAGCTTTCTTGCAGATCGGAGCATCAAGGTCGTTGTAGACGGTGCAAGCTCAGATTACAAGCCTATTAATGCTGGTGTTCCACAAGGCTGCGTGCTATCGCCAACGCTGTTTCTTCTACATATCAATGATATGTTGCAAACCCGTAACATTCATTGCTATGCAGATGACAGCACAGGTGATGTTCTGTACACCGGCCGTGCCAATATTTCTCGAGAAAACGTCTCCAAGTACCGGGACAAACTTGTGTCGAGTTTCTGCTGAACAGAGTCTCGGATTTGGGGCGACTAAATCTAGTCCAGTTTAACCCCCAGAAGACAAAAGTTTGCGCGTTAACCGCTAAAAAGAACCCCTTTGTCGTATCTCCTCAGTTTCAAGGCACCCCCTTGTTGCCTCAGCTAGTCTCAGACGAAATAAAAACTCAAGACAGAGCCTCGCCGAACAACGCACTGAGGCCGGTAAAACTACGCCTCGCCTTGTACATACACAGTTTCACGCACACACATAAAACGAAACTACGCTTTACCTTGTCACACTATAATAATTCGCAGCGCAGTTTTTAAAGAAAAAATGCCGAATTGTGTTGTAAAAGGGTGTAAAAATCAATCTTCCAGGAATAAAAAACAGGATGGAATCACATATCATACGTAAGTAAACATAAAAATCCAAATTTTTAATAAATCATTTTTATTATTTATTATGACAGCTTGGAACATAAAACCTCAACAAGTGTTGCCACTAGTAAGCGTACTGTAGTCCCCATTTATTTAGTAAGTTATTAATGTGACGCGAAACTTAATTTAACACGTTCATTTACCTATTTCTATTTTACTTTTAATATTCATAAAATTAATGTAAGTGTAAATAGGCATTTTTTGTTTTTCCATGTTTTATCATCACTTCAAAAATCTATATTTTTAAGGTTCCCATCTGAAATAAAGACATTAAAGAGAAGTGGATAGAAGTGATCAGAGTTAGCCGGCATGAGCCATCGTGGAATCCAACGGTGGGCAGCGTAATTTGTTCGACACATTTTGAAGATAACGATTTTTATTACACAAATAAAGGACTTCGTCGTATGGAACGAAACGGATTGGTACAAAAAATTGACCCAACAAAAAGGCCGTTAAAATAAAAACAATGTTTCTTTCATATTACTATTGTTTTGTTTTTCAACTACTTAGTCGAAACAGACATACATACTAGTTAATGATTTCCTAAATTTACGCACTTGCACACACTCAAAAATGATTTCCTTAATTTAAGACTTCAAATTGAATAAAACTAAATTTACGGATTCTATCGCGTTTATTCAACTAATTTTACTTATTTTTAATTCCCAACGTTTCGGGATTAAACGAGACAATGACATTGGGACGTCAAACACCCCCCCCCCGTGATCATGGGTGCTGTAAAGCAGCCGAAACGTCGGGAATTAAAAATAAGTAAAATCAGTTAAATAAACGCGATAGTCCGTAAATTTAGATTTATTCAATACCTTCTACTTCTTAAAGTGAGGTATACAATTAAAAAAATTGCTAACTTATCTTTCTACTTATCTATTCATCCAGATAAATAAAATTTTAATAATATACTACTCTTACTTTTACTCCACGGTAACACTCACTTAGTGCACACATGTTTACCAAACCGACCTCACTTCATTGTTGACAGCGCTCTGTCTTGAGTTTTTATTTCGTCTGAGCAGCCAGTATCGAAATCCTCGGCGTCGACATATCGAGTGACGTGCAGTTTAGTGGTCACTTGGAAAAGAAGGCCAAATTGTCCTCTAAAAAGCTTGGCGTGCACAGCAGAGCGGGACAGTATTTCATGCCGGCACACCGCCTGCAACTTTACGAGGCGCAGGTTCAGCCACACATGGAATACTGTTCCCATCTCTGGGCTGGGGCTCCCCAGTACCAGCTCCTTCCACTTGACCGCATCCAGCGCAGAGCGGCTCGAATTGTCGACGACCGAGTGCTTTCCGATCGGCTCGATTCACTGGCGCTGCGAAGAGATGTTGCATCTCTTTGCATTTTCTTTCGCATATACCATGGTCATCTCTGAGTTCGGAAATCTCACCGCCAAATTTGTACGCACTACGCGCACTCCCGATACTATTCACACCATCTGGATGCTTGGCGGTCTACCACTCACACACTACAAATACAAATATGTAATCTTTCAGATAATCAATGATATGTGAAAAAGTATTCAGTAACGATGTCATGAAGCCTTCAAAAATGGAGGACCACTTTCAAGAGCACATGCTGACAAAAAAAGAAAATCAACGAACGCGGAGTTTTAAGCCTGTAACTCACCAATATTGAACCAGATTTAGCTAGGTAGACAGACAGTCACCAGGTTCATCAATCGCACGAATTTTTAATTTTTATACTATCACTTTGCTATTTTATTGTTTTTTTTCTAAAAATATTATTACCTACTTAAGTAATTTTACGTAATTTGTATTAATAATTATTGATTACTCTTGATATTTACCGAATTTTATGTCTATTTATTTTGTAAAATTTTGATGAGAAAATGATGTCAAATTTACTCACTTAACCAATCGCAAATTTTTTAAATTGATAAGTATTTTGTATTAATTGAAAAATCTAGAGGTTCTCAGACATTGGAGTTTGGGGTATCAGTTCATTTTGGGAAAAAGTCTTGCCGAAAATAGCTTAGGAATCGCTGTTCTAGAGTTTGTGAATCAATAACAACAATAACATTTGATTATATGTTTTCGGCGACTTTTTATCAGATTTGGGTTTCTAAGTACACCGATAAGTATCATAGACAAGGAACTCGACAACCCTATTGAATTTTATTGTTTATCAAAACTCTGTAACGTAAAGTCAAACATATTAGTTGTTACGATACGTATTAAGATTAGCAACAAATTTTAAAGTACCTATATTATGAAACAGTTTTTTTTTACTAGCTGTAAATTCACTTACTTGTGAAATTTTATCCCACTTTCCTTTTGGTAACGAGTTTTACAAATTACGCACACTCTTGTTATCACTTAAAGTAATTATAATGTACCAAAACCAAACATACTCAATCTACTCAAAATACTTTTATTTTTCCTTTAAAAGTTTAAAATATAGAGTTACGATTTAAATAACACAACAGAGTTTGCCATATTGTGTCAATTTTAGTTCACGGTACAAACAATGGCGGCGCTTCAAATTAGCACAAACATTTTGTAGCGTAATTTATTATTTATTTTATTATTATATTATTTAAATTTTATAGGGTAAGTGTATTGGGAGCTTTTCTGATGTCATCGAGCAAGGAGTACCAAAGGCGTGTAGCCTAAACTATAAAGAAGTTACCATAGAGCAAGGTGAAGTGAATAAAGATACATATTTTGTTGTTAAATGAAGAACTTAGAACCCAGTAGAACCCTATCAAAAGATCAGAAGAGATAATGAAACTTCTTTCTTTCCATATTAGCTATTCTAAATTACCGAAGAAAACCATACTAATGTATAATGTATAGTGTAAGCGAATATATGTTTTAAATTAAATTCTGACTCTAATTTTCAGTTTTTTATTACATTAGTAACTCGCCGGTGCAAATCGGAAAATGTGTAATTCCTTATGATTTATGATGTCTACAGCTAAAATCTTTTTTAACAACTGTCAACACTTGAAATGAAAACATCATTGTTGCCATATATAATAATAATTATCATGTTTGAGAGCTGTAATACTATTATCTTACTCGTTTTACCACATGTCGAAAGGCATATTTATTGCTCTTTTACAAGCTAAAAGCTCAAGTGGAGCGATCTATGGGCTTCTTGCAGTTTACCAACACGACAATGGCCGAATTGTCCGTATAAGATATTTTTTATTGGCTCATGCAGCCAAACCTGCCATGTCTTTGGTTTTAAAAATGGCGTATACAAGCTTTTTGTTTGCCGGTTTACGCTGTTGAATGATTTGTTTCCGAGACCCCGTGCTTACTCAAGCGACACGTAAACGTCGTGAATATGAAAATAAAGTACATGTGTAGGTACATTATTGAACACCATGAACTCAGTGAACAAAATTTTGTAGCGTTATGGTGAATTAGAATGGTGCCTGTGGTTTGTCAAGCTCGCACGTCGACAGGTTACCCGTTCGTAACGTAAATATCACCCAGCAGGCGTTTTATATTTCAGATATGACAGCGTCGCAAAAAAGTAGATAATGGAGAGTTCTGAAGATGATGCGGGCACCGCAACAAGCACTTCCCGCCGCCCATCGGCGCGGGAAAAGGACGTCGAGCGACCTGAAAACGTCTGTGCAACTGGAAGTTTACAGCAAAAATCATCTGAAGCGCCAGTGTGTTGCGAAACCCCCGCGATGTCGGAAGATAATTTCGATGGAGAGAGCGTTTCTTCGCCGTCGACGCAAGACGTCAACACAAGCACTGAAGCGATCTTAGACATGATCGACGAGATTGTTGATGGGCCTGGAGCACCAAAGCGATTGCCACTTACCTTGCAAAACGTAGAGAACGTCGCGAAACTTGACACTGCTGAATGTTTAGGCGTTGTAACACAAACGTCAAATAGTGAACCTGAGGGCAATCTGTTACAGGAGTCAGTTTTGGAAAGTACTAAAAAAGCTAAAGTTGATGATGAAAAACTGAGTTCTGCTAATGTCCAATTAGGCAGCGCGTTTATACATGATGTATCAACAAAAACAATTGACTTGCCAGAAGTTGACAGTCATACGCTTTCAAGTAAGATATCTGAATCAACAAGTACTCATGACTCTGTAGAATTGAGTTCGGTGGTGCCACATAGCCGACCACTTTCTAGTATTCCTTCCAGCAGTGTAGTGCAAACAGAACAAAGTGTATCTGATAGCAATGAAACTCAAACATGTGAACGGACAGTAAAGTGTGTGTCATCAAGTGATAACCAAGACAATGTTGTAGGCAGTGCTGAATGTACTTCAAGTGACAATAGTTTAAGTCAAAATAGAGCTGTAGTTTTAGATCATGTTACTCAATCACCATTACGACGACGCCTTGTAAGGCCAGCGCCCAGTGACCGCCGCCCCGACTCCACTGTGTCTTCTACAGTTGACTTGCAAAGTATTAATGTTGTAGCTTGTGAACAATCTAGTAGTGAGTGTATTGTCAAGGATGTGTCCAGTTCGTCAGATGCAGTACCTGTACATGGTAATGTTAAGCCAGATGAGATTAGAAATGTAAATGAAGTAAGTATCTGCAAAGCAGAAACATCGGTGAGTCCCCTTAAAAGAATTAAGCTTAATAGACAAAAAGTTAATACCCAAGTAAGCTGTAGAGACATAACACTTGATCAACAATCATCTGTTACGAGTGAACAATGTCAATCAACTTCAGGGACTATTTTAAATGAATCTGGTTCCGATTCTACAAATATAATAAGCACATCAAAATCGGATATTACAGATTGTAATGAGGTTTTAAATGTAAAAAGTAAAATTATTCAAAAACATATTCCAATAGACCTTTGTATTTCATCTGAAGAGCCTTTGAATGAGTGTTGTATTGAAAAATCACAAAATGAAGCAGCAATACTTCTAACAAATCAATGCACAAGTAATGCACCCCCGTCTCAAGAAAGTCTGATAAATAATGATCTGAAAAAAGTTCCACCAATAAAACTAAATCTTTCTGCTACTTGTGGGAAGGATTCAGTCTCAGATTTAAGTGTAAAACTTTCTGAACATAAAAGTGACAATAGCTGCAGTAAGCAAGTAGCTGAGGAATCTGACTCAACCAAACAAGTACCAAAATTAACTATCAAACTGAGTAATAAACAAACCGAGGAACTAAAACCTCCTGTTCCAAAATTGACTATAAAACCAATTAGAGTGCCTTTAGAAGAAGAAATCATTAAATCTGATATTCAAAATGAAATTCCATGTGTAACTAAATTAAATATTAAACCTATTCCTAAAAGACCAGAGAAAATAAATAAAATTCATCGTAAATCTAGTAGCAGTGAAATATCCGAATCAGAATGTTCTGAAAATGATGATAGTCCTAGTACATCAGATCAAGCCTCAACATCAGATCAAGGACCAGTTGATGTTGTACCAAAAGTAACTATAAAACTTGGTAAAGTTGGCACTGAAACTGAAGGGCAATTCTATACAGAAAGAAATATAACAAAACTTACAATAAAAGGTATTCAGCAGAATGAAAATGAAGAGCAAGACCATTCATCAAATTTAAAACGTGTCATTAGTCAACCTGAAGATAAGCCAACAGATAAAATACCAAAATTAACAATTAAAACCATAGCTAAGACTGAGAGTCAACCACTAAGTCCAAAGTTTACCATAAAGCCTATAAAACAACCAGAAACTGCAAATAAAGACAGCATAATTGATCAAACAGAAAATCAGCATATACAAAAACCAAAAATATCTACGGATTCATGTTCACCTAGTGTTGAAGGAAAAGATATTATGCATGTACCCAAAATTACAATTAAACCTGTTGTTAAAACGGAATCTTCAAAAAAATGCAGTACTTCATCTGAAAGTTACGAAAACATCCCAGTTGTAACAAAGCTCAATATAAAGCCGATTATTAAACCTTCAGAAAGCAATGAAATAATGGAAAATTTGGATGATAAAGTTCCTGTAGTTTCAAAATTAAACATTAAGCCTATAGTTAAACCAAAAGAAAATGAGATAGATTGTAACAAAGAAGATTTACCTAAAATTACAAAATTACATATTAAACCAATAAAAAACCCTGAGGTGAAACCATCGGAAGAAGAGGACTGTGATTCAAAAATTGAAACAAATGCAAATAGTATACCTGTTGTTACTAAAATTAATATTAAGCCCATAGTTAAGCCTATATGTGATGATGTATCAAAAGATGAAAATTTTGGGCATCAGTCTTCAGAAAATTCAAGTGATGACAACTCTGACCAAATACCTGTGGTTACAAAATTAAATATAAAACCTATAATAAGACCAAATGAAGGTGAGGAATCAAAACCTGGCATATCAAATGATGACAGTATTCCTATTGTAACAAAACTTAATATAAAACCAATACTGAAGCCAGAAGAAAATACTTCCGCTTTATCACCTAAAAAAGAAAGCTTAAGAAGTTCTGATCATAGGAATTCTATAATACCTGTTGTTACTAAATTAAATATTAAGCCTGTTTTAAAACCTGAAGAAACACACAAAGTTATGCATGAAGCAGAAGATTTGACAGTAAAAAATCCTCCATTGGTTATGAAAATCAATATGAAAACTGTGGATACTGGTAGTAGTGAAAAAGTTCTTATTAATTCAGACAAATGTGGTGACAATGAAGGACACATAAATAATGCAGTGGATGATGTATCTATAATGTCAAAAATGTTAAATATTAAGCCCCAATCAAAAATAGTTAGTGAAGATGTATCTTCTAATAAATCTTCTGATGATAATGAACAAAATACTGCATTTGTTGAAGATATATCAAGTAGTGTAATTATTAAGGATACAGAGGATCAATCTAATAGTTTACATTGTGTGCTAAAACAAAACTGTGTTGCTGGTGTTAATGAAAAAGTTAGTAATATGCAGAATATTGAAACACCTGCAGAAGAAACATTATTGGATGTCAAGAAAAAACTGTCAACTTGTGATACTCCCATGTCTAAAGAAAGTGCAATTCAACATCCCATACCACACAAATCTGACAGTGTTTCTAATCTAAATAAAACAGATTGTTCTCAATCAAATAAATCAAGCAACGATAATAATGAAAACAATTTAAAAGCTGCTAATTTATCATTTGAATGTGTAGTGCCTAATATAAGCAACAAACAAAGTTCTCCATCAACACAAAATTGCACTTTATTAAAGAAACTTCTAGAGACTAAGAATGAAAGCTTAGGTGTAAAAATGGATGAAAATCAAACTGTAATAAGTAATTGTTCGTCTCCAACCTTAAGATCGAAAACCCCAGTCTCCGATCACAAGGAAGAAGCAACCTTAAACAGTAGTACTAATATAACAAATTCAGGAGCTTGCCATAAAATTGATATTGCCAATAATGAACCCATTAGTTCAAGCGATGGAATTATTAACAGTTCAATTAGAAATCATTTAATGGAGGGAATTACAAAAGAAATTAATGAAAATTTAACAAAACCTTTAGAAATTAATGTATCAGAAAAAATAACAAATCAAAATGTAGCAGAACAAGACTCACCTCGAATAATATTAAAGATTAATAAGACTGATCATGGCCCTTCAGCTAAAATTATGACAGAAGACATAAAAATACCAGAACAACAAATTTATACAGCTGAAAATACTCAAGATGAAATTAATGATAGCGAAAACATTAAAAAGAATACCTTAAACAGCAGGAGAAAAACATTTGGAAATATTAATCCAACTTTACAATTAGGTAAAAGATTAAGGAGTTCCAGGATAGTAGAAAATGCAGATAAATCTCCCACATCAAAAAAGAATATTTTAAAAAGGCCATCAACTACAGATACTAGTCCAACTCCGAATAAAGAACCAGAGCTATCTGTTCTTGAAACAAAAAGGTTGAAGTTGGGACAACTTTTATCCAATAAATCATTATCTGTAACACCAGTGGTTACCAAAACTGAACAGTTATCGCCAGCAAAAAAGCCATCTGTAGAGATTAAGCAAGCGGGAAAAAATGTAAATCACAATGTATTAAATAGCGAAAATTGTTCCAAAAATGGCAATTCCAAATTACATAACATTTTATCCAATTTGCATTCTAATCAACAAATACAAGTAAAACCCTTCAATGATATTTGTCATTCTGATAAGAAACAAAATTTAACTCCAGAACCTGAATCTAGTGCTTCAACAGGTAGCTGTGACCGAGTTGAATTGATGCCAATAGGAAAAGATCAACCTGAGGTGCAAGAATTGATTTTCCATGATAACTCGGGGTCACATGATTTTAACATGGCATCTGAAGAAATAGCTCAAGATCCATTGGAAGTAGATTGTCCAAAACCTCCATCAGGAATTCGTATTGAAAATTTTAACATTCCTAAGCCTACACCACCACTCATGGTATCTACGCCGCAACCAAGGAAGCGTGGTAGGCCACGAAAAATTCCTCTGTCAGAAGGTGCCAAGGTTGTCTTGCCTACACCTGCGCTTGAAGAGAGACCTCAAAGATCTTTACGCTTATCGAGGTGAATATTCATTGTCTTTAATAATACCTTTATATTTTTAAGTATGTTTATTAATTTATTGGTAAAAAATTATTTCAGGGATAGACCTATGATATTAACAAAACCAAGAGGTAGAGGACGAGGACGTGGGTCACGACGTCTAGATAACTCTTCCAATCCATCCTCATCTGAAACAGTGATGGAAGCAGCAAACAAATTTTTTGAAGAGCATAAATCTGGAGAAGCTATTGATCCTACTAGTTCAAGAATAAAACTTCCACGGATGACTGAAGCTTTGGATAAGATGCCTTGTTCAACACCACTCAGCAGTAGGAGACGGAATTCATCAATAGGAGATTTGAAACTCTTCAGTGATGTTTCAGAATTGAAAGTTGTACTTGATGGTACACTGCCTAACTTGGATGATTCATTTATGAAGTCACCGGAAGGTGGAGAGCGCCGGGGGCGAGGTTCACGAGGGGGGCGAGGGAGTAGAGGTGGTAGAGGCCGTGGAGTTAGTCGTGGCCCACGAGGTCGAGGCAGAGGACGTGGCGGTGGTCGCGGTGCTAAGTACATGAAGGTAAATATTTGATTACATTTTTACTCTGTAAAATCTGTAAAGTTCAAAGTATCATAGGTCTTCAACTAAAATCCATGTACTTATAGGAAATAAAAGAATTTTATGTAAAATTACAGTAACTTCATAAAATTTTGTAAATAAATTGTTTTTTTTTTTACATTTCAGGAAACCTTGGGCATTTACGGTCGTGTCTGTGGTCCTGCTACAACAACAGTACAATTGTTTGAAGAGGAAACTTGCATGATGGATGACAATGCTACTCCTGCAAAGTATGTTTTTAGTTTAGATTCTGGTTGACATGATACTTTTTGATGTTTAAAATTGTATAGGAACTAATTAATAATTGTTTGGTTTTCAGGCCATCACATTTACTTGATGAGGATTCACAAAGTTCTGTAAAAAGTTCAACTAATGAGAGTAGTAAAACGAAAAAATCCAAATTTGCAGATTTATTTGATAGGTAAAAATAATTTTCTATATGGAATCACAAATATTTAAACTAAATAGAATTTGTATGATTTTTTGAAAGAAAATTCGTAATGCTATTAACAACCTGAGTCTTACAGTAGAATAAAACCTAAGACATTTTAGCTTTGCAATCCATATCTTTAACTACTGTCACTACTACATACTATGTATACTACAACCTACCAAGTGACTACTGTCACTGTATTTTAATAAAAAAATATTGTTTTGCAGCAATAAAGTGTGGACAGCTGCTGATGTTAAAGAATACATGTGGCCACCACCTGAGAAACCTTCAGCTGACCACCAGGTACATGATACAATAGATACCTATTTATACTTCCATTATCTTCGTTAGGATACTTAAATATTGTACAATATTGTATTGGGTTTAGTGACTTTCCGCTACAATCTCCCTGCAAGCACAAATCCAAGGAGCTGGCTAAAGGAGCTTGGGGCAGTCAATGCAATGATAGTAATATCAAAGTTTAGCAGAACATATCGCACAGGAGTCCATAGACACCAGCACAACACTTCCAGAGTATATAAGATATCTTGAGAGATGAGCTTAGGTAACACGAAAGATATTTGCACGCGTACGCGTCTACTGTTCGCAATTGCCGCCAATCGATTTGGTGCTTGTGTTGCACAGAGAGCACATAACCCGCAATTTGTGACTACATTCAGAATGAAAACAGTTAATCGCCAACCCAATGAATTAAATAGAAATATAAAAAAAAATACTACCTTCAAAATTGTGTTGCCTTGTATTTAATATATATACGAAAATAGAAACGAAAAACATAATATATAAATAATCTGTTCCAGTACAGAACAAATATGTTGTATTTATCACCAAACAAATGGTCAAAAATATTTATATTTAATACATGCTGAAATAACAAATTCTCTTTATGTCTGAATTTAGTGTTAGTTTAATATTTTTGTTTTAAATGATCAAAATAGTTCAGTATTTAACATTAGTTGCGTGTATGCAAACTGTATACATATCAATATTATAAGCGCCTCAAAAGTAGTTTCTTGTTTTCTTATGAAGACACATTAAAGGCTAAATACTATTTGCAGTTACTGTTGTTAGGATTAGTGATAAGGTAAATGAAAATGCATCATATTTCATAGAGTTATTGGCATTGGTACCAGCGTGGATCGAACCATGGTAACTCGCATACTATGAAATTTATACCGAGCGTATAGCTACTGAGCTGGCATGACTCTTTAAAAATAAGAAGTAATAGAATAAAAATCCAAAAATTGTTACTATCAAACTAAAATTAATTTGACGGTAGGTGGTACAAGTCGTTGCTTAGCCTCGTCGATACAACATAAATTTGTAATGTGTGTTACGGTCTTTTTTTGAATTAAAAAGCTCTGGATACTTCTTTAGCAATCATGACTTATATTCACAAAATAAATTTAAGTCAGTACTAGTAACTTAAATTTAAGTTACAAGTGTAAAAAAATATTAACAGTATTATAGTTCATAATTTTTAACGCTATTTTCGCAATTATACTATGATGCTATGACATGTGTAGTGTATGTAAGAGGCAAAATCGATAAATGCTTGAAGCGTGAACGTAATAAACAATGTTTGCCCCACTGTCTCATATCTCCCCTCCCTGGCTATTAAATCATTTACTGTGCAGTCATTTTTACAAATTTAACTGGGGCGTTTAAATTGAACGACAATAATTACTGCAAAGTAGTATAAAATTTAATCTAGCCACAAATAATATTTATATTCTGTGAATGACTGTTGATAACTTCATTAATTCACACTATATTCACTATTTCTAAAAAAAACTAAAATATTTGACATTACCGTAATTAACAAGCAAAACTGGATTTTATATTTGTACATACATAATATCTACTACTAATAACTCCTACCACAAATGGTGCAGGGGCTAAGCCCTCGCTGGGAATTTCACAGTATTCGAGCAACCTGGGTTCGATCCCCGCCAGCTCCAATGAAATTGTTAATTGCAATTTTAAGTGCTGATTTACCACTTCCTCGGCAGTAAAGGAAAACATCGTGACGAAACCTGATTGTCTGAGAAATAAGAAAAAAAAGACCGAAAACATTTGAAGCTCGCTAACACGCATTGGGGCAGCGCGGCGGACATTTCCTTGCCAGTCAGTAATGAGAGGAGGTCTGCACCTAGCAGTGGGACGTATATAGGCTATAACTTTAGCTTTATCTAATACCTACTGTCCTTCGCCTTTGTCTACATAACTTCATAAACGCAAACTTGAATTTCTTATACCTACTTGTAGCTTGCATATTAAATTACTATTATAAAATTAATTAGTGTTGATGGAGCAGACGCAGAAGAGGGGACTACACGTGTCATGAATCTTCCATATGACTATATATGCAAGATTCATGACACATGTAGTCCCTCTTGACAGACAGACAGACGCCCAGCATAAATCAACTTTCTAGTTCTAAAAGGAAAATATCTGTTTTATTAATATATGTAATATATTTCCTATAATAATTTCTTCTGTTGGTAAACACCCAACAAAATCATGGTTTGACAACTTTGAAGGGCAAAATAACATCTTTAAAGAATGATATTATGGAATAAAAATTCGTTAAAAAATTTGTCAGACTATAATTACATTTAAATGAAAATATATTGAGACATTATTACCTGAGTAGGTAACCCATTTGGCAACCCACTCCATGACACTATATCCCATGATATTTTACTACAATTATTAGTATCTTATTTTTACGATATATTATGCTAACAATTTTTTCAGGTAATGATGATTCAAGAACAAGTTGCTATGTTCCTTGGTGTCAAAAGTTTTAAGCGGCGATATCCCGAATTAAAAAGACGAACAATTTCTGGCGAGGAAAGGGATTATGTTTTAAGCAAAGGACTAGTTACGGAAGCACTTTGTGATCTTGGTAAATAAATTTGTTTATTTATTTTTATTTATTCACCAAAGTATTTCAATTGATTTATTTATATAAAAAATTATTTTTATTATTATAATAATTTAAAACAACTTATTGCATTTCTTGTAATAGGAATTACTGCAGTAGATGCAAGTGAAGTCTTAGACATTATGCTATCGGACTACCCACATAAGTATGAGGAATATCGTTCCCATCAATGCCGGAGGCAGCTAACTGAACCTCAGGAGGAGACAGTGGAAGAAATAAAACAGGAGATAAAGGTGGAGAAAATTGAAATGAAACAAGAGCAAAAATCAATAGACAATAAACCAGAACAATCAAAAGTCGACCTGGAAAAGACTAGACAGGTAAGTTTTAAATGTCATTCACAACAGTAGTGGTGTCAATTTCTTCCACTCTTGGCTAAACTCAGGTCTTTCGATTGTTCTTGAATGAGCCTTTCACTTATAGTGTCATGATGAAACTAGTGCACTTATGTTTCTATATATGGTTGCCAATCATACTGATATCACATCTTATCCTTCCAGTCAATTATGTCTGGTCACATATACCTAACATCTGCATTATGGGTCCCTAGTTTGCAAACTGCTCATAGCTAAGATTTGTGCCGAAACACAAATTTGTTTTTGTTTCTGATTGAGATGTTGTATCTATCTCTGACATGTTAAAACAGTATTTTCTATCATTACATGCGTATGCGTAGGTTAAATCAAGTGAGTACCTCTATGTTAGCGCATATACATAAAGAACTATAATATTAATATTGTCTTCAAACATAATGCATATGTACTAAAGTCCGAGCATTCTATCTTAGCCGGGCTGAAGTTAATCGCGAGTGCCTGCGCAGATATAGGTTTTAGAAACAAAATGGTGACAAGAGGAGTAGGAGGGTAGGCGGTAACTAAAACTAGAGATGCAAATACGCATTTTACGCGTTTACAAATACGTAAATAATTTTAGTCGATTATCTGTTATAATTCGATTTTATTTTATATTTTTACTGTATGTAAATGCAACATGTTATCTTAAATACAGTAATTATAATGATGTGAATTAAAGATTTTATTAAAAACATTAAAGTATTATTATTTTGGGGTTACAAATAGTTATATTTGTTGCCCCCACTAATATTGTATATTCACTATATATATTCAAACTGTTTATCGTAATTCTTTAGTAGATTCTATTGTTTTATTGATATTTTCAATATAATAATAAGTTTCAATTTATTATATAATCGATAGAGACGTAACAAACTGTTTCCCTAAGCAATCTTAGGAGCGAAAATGAAGTGGCAACTCTCTATCGACTAGCGTCTGTACATGCGCGAATGTCTCGGAAAGCCATCTTCAGCCCAGCCAGGATAGAAAAGAGATAGAGATCGTACGGCGCGTACGTACAAATGTGTGAGACCATCCGAAAATGCGGTGCGTACAGCGTTCAGCTTAAATGTTAATTGATAAGCTCCAAATTAATTTTTTTAATTTTCCTCAGAATATATATTTTTGAAATGGTTGTCATTATCACATGCCTAGTTGGTTTTTCATTACTCCATCTCCATTTATAATAATAATGTCCTCCAGACCGAATTCCGGCCACGGCGGCCTGCCTCAACCGAGGCTAGCCATCGTGGCAGGACAGGATAGTGCCCAAGTGTATGCACAAGCACAGGTGCACTCTCTATTCCCTCACTCTCATAATCCGATGGGACAGTAAACCGACACAACCAAAGAGAGATCAGGCACAGGACCAACGGCTTTACGTGCTTTCCGAGGCACGGGGGTGAGACACCGCCAACTTCCTGACTCCGAGCAACTATTGAGAATTTCTTGACGGAAAAACTCAATAATTAATTTTTTGGCCCGACCCGTTATTCGAACCCAGGACCTCATGATCAGCAGTCGCACTACTACAACCACTAGACCAACGAGGCAGTCACTATTCCATCTCCATTTATGTCTGTTATTCATTCCTTTTACAAAAAGATTTTTTTAATTATGATTTTCAATATAATTTTAATGACTCCATTAATAAAAAATAAAGTTACGTAAAAGATGAAAATGATTAAGAAAAGGAAAGGAAGGATTCCATCAAAATATACTAATATATGAAATCAATTGGGAACACTATAATAAATAAGAAAAAAATGCTTATGGTATTCCTACACTGGGCTGCTGAGGCACCCAACATTCGTTGGCACGTCCACATAGCGTGACTGTCGACGCTAGTCCTATTAATTAGTAGTGGACGACACTAAATTAAAATACACGAAAGCTTAAATATGTAGGTATAGCATAAGTAAAATTATTTAAGAAACAAACTTCCCCTTGGTGCCTTAGCATCCCACATAGGGTTCCTGGGTTAACATACATTAAAAAAATATTAGTTGATTTAATTTCATTAATTTTGTAGTCTGTTAGAAACTGACACTTTAAATCTTATTTATGAAAACTTGTCATAACATATTCTATGTTTCTATGAATAATAATCAACAATAATGTATGTGTTGTAAGTTACTTGTTAGTCTCATTCACAAAAACATTTTCGATTTCGTCGCCTATTGACATGTATGTAGCGTACTCCGTCTATCTGTTTTATTGGTCTGAAACCCTGTCGTGGATATCTCTGTGAGGTTGCAATCATTTCGGTTTCTTTCAACCCGCGACTATCTTAGTGATCGCCTCTCTAATTGTAATTTTTATTCATTACAGCCAATCACAAAGTCCACTGCTGAACATAACCTTCCTCCACAAAGCACAATCCTGAGCATCCATATCTCTATCTGCATCTATCGACTTCCTGCATCTCTTACGCGGTCGTCACGCAATCTATGGGCGGCCGCCCTACATTTCGCTTACTGGTACGAGGTTGCCACTCAATAACCTTTCTTCCCCTTCGATTGTCGGCTCTTTGTGCTACATGGGCAGCCCTTTACCATTTTGACTTACTGATCCGTATAATTGCTAATGTAAAATGACGGCTAATAATCTAACGCTCACCAGATGTCGCTAGTTGGGATTGAGGTTATCTAATTCGTCATACAAAAATGGTCACACAGTGTCGTTATTGCTGAAAAGTTGAGTTTTAAAACAGCTTTTCGGTTTCTAGTCTATGTGTATGTTATGTACCAAGTGATTAATCTGAGGCACTATTTATAATCCTCGGGCAGTATGAATAATGACAAGTCACATCGGGTGACTTAATTAATATTGATATAAACTTTATTATTTATCACATTGTCTATCTCTGTTGCACAATTGAATATAATCTAATCTAACCTAACCATGTTAATCACTTTTAAGGCAATGATTTCATAATGTACTTAGCACATATAAAATTAACAAGTGTTAAATGGGAAGGAAGGGAAATACCACTTTGTAGTATCAAATAGAAGCTGTGGGTTATTACTTCCATTAGGCACAGAGTACTATGTACAGAACGGCGACTCACCCAATATATAGGATATTGGGTGAATAATTAGGATATACCTAACTACATAATAACACTAAAAGTATGAATAATATTCCTGTTATATATTATTCATAGTTTTATATTTATTATTATTACTCATCTACAATATCATTAATATCTCAATATATATCTATATAATCTATATATATATATATATATATATATTTATATATATATATCTTCATAGTTCTACCATACATACACAACTACTTACAATTAATATTTCCGTTATGATACGATCATTTAAGCCGACGTCGTAGCCGGCCCGCCGCACCGCTTCAATGTCGGCCGTTTCATTTCACTACCAAATTTCACGAACACATTTGCATGTGTACAAACGTCATTTGCCTATATAGTAGTAATAGCTTGTGGCCGAGGAAGGAAAAGGGGAGATCGCTCGCCGCGCAAGGTTTTCTGCCCGGGGAGCGGCCAACACTCCATGTGGTAGATCGGAGATGTTCTATATATTCTCTTTATGATTCGGAATAATGATAGCGTGATTTAGGCTTCGGTGTGTTTCGCTTGCGGCGCGATGACAGCGCAGCCACAAGCTAATTAATTTGCGAGCGTTGTATGGAGTGTCCGGGGTGTGCTTTAGGTTATATAGAAAAAGTACCTTTAATGAAAAAATTGTTTATTTTTTTTAAATCTGTATCTCAATATGTAACGGGCTTTCTGAGTAAACCCAGGTCAATTTAATTATTTCAATAGTTTTTATGATTTTACCTACTCATATTGGCAATTTTTCAAACTGTGTAACTATAAATCACTTAGTCCGTAACAATAACAATAACAAATACATTTATGTATATAAAACTAGTCCTCAGTGGTTGTGCTTTTAACACATTTTTAACTTTTTTTTTAATTTTTCATCTTTTAACATTATCCATAATTTGGTTTATCCATTTCTAATCTAATGAACTGAAAAATATAACTAAAGTCAGAAAGAAATATAATTTTTTACATCTTTCTAAAAAAATATTTTCGACGCTCTAATATTTCTCCTCATTCTAAAGTGACGCCGTCCTGGTAGAAGGAAAAGTCGTGTATTTACCGGTAATGATATTTACGTAGGATATGGCGGCCGCGGCGATTGCGTCGGCGAGCGAGTGGAACGCGCGGCTGAACGCGTCACGGCGGCCGGCGTGCGCGGACCTTCAGTCGCTGACGCTGCAGCGCAGGCGTGCGCCGCCCGCCGCACCACCGCCGCCCCGCGTGCGCCCGCCGCACGGCTTCTACCCGCTGGCGCTGCTGCCCGGCCAGTACCAGCACTGCTACCGCGTGTACTCCAGCGAACAGCTCAGGTGAGGTACTGCCGCACGGCTTCTACCTACTGGTGCTGCTGCCAGGCCAGTACCAGCACTGCTACCGCGTGTACTCCAGCGACCAGCTCAGGTGAGGTGCCGCCGCACGGCCTCTACCCGCTGGCGCTGCTGCCCAGTCAGTACCAGCACTGCTACCGCGTGTACTCAAGCGACCAGCTCAGGTGAGATGCCGCCGCACGGTCTCTACCCGCTGGCGCTGCTGCCCAGTCAGTACCAGCACTGTTACCGCGTGTACTCCAGCGACCAGCTCAGGTGAGGTGCCGCCGCACGGCTTTTACCCACTGGTGCTACTGCCAGGCCAGTACCAGCACTGCTACCGCGTGTACTCCAGCGACCAGCTCAGGTGGGGTGCCGCCGCACGGCATCTACCCGCTGGTACTGCTGCCTAGTCAGTACCAGCACTGCTACCGCGTGTACTCCAGCGACCAGCTCAGGTGAGGTGCCGCTGCCCGGCTTTTACTCACTGGCGCTACTGCCCGGCCAGTACCAGCACTGCTACCGCGTGTACTCCAGCGAACAGCTCAGGTGAGGTGCCGCCGCACGGCTTCTACCTGCTGGCGCTGCTGCCCGGTCAGTACCAGCACTGCTACCGCGTGTACTTCCGCGACCAGCTCAGATGAGGTGCCGCCGCACGGCTTCTACCCGCTGCCGCTGCTGCCCGGCCAGTACCAGCACTGCTACCGCGTGTACTCCAGCGACCAGCTCAGGTGAGGTGCCGCCGCACGGCTCCTACCCGCTGGGGCTGCTGCCCGGCCAGTACCAGCACTGCTACCGCGTGTACTCCAGCGACCAGCTCAGGTGAGGTGCCGCCGCACGGCTTCTACCCGCTGGCGCTGCTTCCCGGCCAGTTCCAACACTGCTACCGCGTGTACTCTAGCGACTAGCTCAGGTGAGGTGCCACCCGTCATGCGGCTTCTACTGGCACTTCGCTGGCACTGTACGCTGCTATTACCACCGTTTATACACTATAGGACAGCTCAGCACCGCTACTGCAATGGACGCAAGCAATGCACCACTGCCGCTGTGTGCACAGCTGCTGACACTATATGTAACTAAATAACTAAATGTACTTACTTACTTATCTTCACGCTCAATCCCTAACGGGGTAGCCAGAGAGAACAGATCGCCAAGTGTCACGACCCTTACATACCTCTTTCGCTTCTTTCAGGTTCGTTAACTTCTTCATACATGCACGTCTAGGTATCCGAGTACTCTTGACCTTCTCTTCGAGTAATTTGCTCACATGGTCAAATAACTAAATGTAATGTTTCATTACTTTCACACCTCGCAAAGGCAAAATATTACTGCTGTAGACATGTGTCAATCATTCATTTCTCGTGACGGAATCATTCTAGTACATTTTATTACGCGTACCGGTACATTGTCTAAACTGCTGTTCTGAATACTTCAAGCATTTTATCACAGCTGTTCTGACCGAGGTAATATTTATTCTGTAACTTATTTAATAATTAAATATTTTTTAAGAAATGTGAGAAAAAACCAACTTTGTCCCCTCAGAATGGTTTCCTTCACCGTTAAACCCAACACATAAAATTGAAATAATAATTTATTTTGATCTGGCAGTTATTGAACTCATTAATTGTAATTACTGCATTAAACTACTTGAGAAAATTATTATTTTCAAAAAAGTAGTAGTGAAACAATTTTTTACTCGTGTCACAGATACTTCCCGCTGAATACGGCACTAGCGGCCCCGCCTGCTTTAGCGTCTGTCGAGTCCAGCTCTGACTCGGAGCCGGACTGGATCGAGCGCTCTTCCTCCGCGGAATCCGACGTCGAGTCGCACCCTCCCAAGGTAACACAAGCACTCACAAATGCACATACTAAAGAAATCACCCACGTACTAATACTAGCACCAGTGGCGAAGCCTCCATAGAAGCCCAGAAGCCGGGCTTGCTCTATAAAAATGCTCAATCAATAATATCATCTATAGTCAACCAAATCTAAGAAATACCTTTTGACGTTTCACATTAATCATTCCGCAATAACTTTGCATAAGCATACTCATACGATTTACAATAACCTTTTACCGAAATCCGAAGAATTATGAAGTTATCTATATTTAATTACAACGTGTTTAGTTTTTTATCGCTAATTTAAATTTGAATCTTTCAAAGAAAGCAAAATATAAAAAAAATAACCAGTATCAACTTTTTTACTTGACGTCGTTTCAATGATATGTCGCTATGTGCCTTACCATAGTGTTTGGATGATTAAAATTCGTTGATATGCGAATAATCGGCAAAAAGATTCAAGTAATCGTTAAAAATATTCAAATAATCGAATCATTAATTTTTAATGTATTTTTTGTTTCATTAAATGTTTATCTTTAAAATTCCTTAAATTACATGAATCGTGAATAAAACAAGTTTTTTTTTACTTTGTCAACGTAAAGGACAATGGTGAACTCCCAAATAAATTTTAGTTGACTCTTTTTTCTTGCGTCTACAAATGCAAAATATGTAAAAATATAGTTTAAATTCCTGAACATTTTTTTCTTCGGTCATAATACTGCAGGAAGTCAGGAATTAGAGATATTCCAGTTTAAACAAAATACACATCAGACTAGTCTGTATGGTATAAAACGCCTTAACTGGTAAATGGTTACAACAACTAGTCAATATAACTTTCATATATGTTTATATAGGGTAGTTACTAGCATAGAGGGAATCCTTAAAGAACGCATTAGTATATATAGAAGAGTTTTCTGAATAAAATACACGTCAAACTCGGCTGTATGTTATAAGACCTTTGTCTGTCTTAACTGACGAAATGTAGCAATTACAACTAGTTAATAAAGTTTTGAATTGTGCATGATTATTTTTGATAAGCTTGATTAGATAATACATAGTAAATTATTTTATTGATATCTGTAATGGTGACTTAAGTAGACGCTTAATAATTCCATCACCTATTATTTCGCCATTGTCCTTTGTGTAGGCAAAAAACTCATATACATGGCCGCGCTGCAAAAACCACTACGTAATTTCAATCTCCCGCCATTTCGGGAGCTTATTGTGCGTAATTTTTGACATTTCCTGTTTGTCTTCTAATTTTGTGCCTCTGTTTTAACTTTTTGGACTGTTTCTTCTATATTCGTTGAAGCCCATATCAAAAAGTATGATTTGGCAAAAGTGGTAGAAAAAACAGAAAAAAAGATTATGGATGACTTCGAGAGACATTAATTTTGACTGCATTATTGAAAATCAAATAATAATTAATCTAAACAACGACAGCTCAAGTAGTTGTACTGAAAGTGATTGAATAAATTTATTTTAATCTAGTTTCAATCGAAATTTTTTATAATTGTGCCTCTAGTTAGCAGTTACAACAAATACGAAGAAACTGATAAATCTTGTGTTTTAAATTATCTGTTTTTAATTTATTATGGTATTATCCCAACCAAAAAAATAATCGATATCGATTTTTTTAAGAATCGAATATTGTACGTTACCATTTTTTGGTTTGCATGCTTGGTGCAATAAGTCTGACAGCTGTTAAAATGTATTTCTTAGATTTGGTAGACTATAATAAAATAACTCGTAAACTGTTTCAAACTATTTCAAATTTCCTGCGCGCTCCTGACCTCGTAGCATATAATATGTAACGTCAACACTTGGCAGTTTGCTTTCAATTCGAAGTACACTGGACTGTCAAAATTAATTAAAGCAAGGAGTTGATTTTGTCGCCTCTCTCACACGCGTTGACTTTTTACCGGGATTTCGAGAAGACGACCGCTCCCTGCCACTGCCGTGTAGTGGCGGTTGAGAATATCCACTACCCCATATCTTTCCGTGGGTGTCGTAAGAGGCGACAGAGGGAGACAGGCAGGAGATGGGCAGCAGCATCTTCCTAATAACAACAATAACATAATAAAAAACTGCGGTTGCCAACCCGCTCGCCAAGCGTGGCAACTATGGCAAATATCCCCCCATGAGCAACGACACAAATAAACGGCCCCCAGTCCCCGGCGGCCTGGCTACGGTGGCGACCATGGTAACGGCGGGGCAGGGGGTGCTAAGAATCTCCGGTGGAGGTTCGGTTGCCACCTACGACGACTCCACCTGGCAACGTATAACGCACGCACCCTGAGGACTGACGAGAAGATACTGGAGCTGGAAGAAGAGGTAGACAAGTTGCGCTGGCATATTATTGGATTATCTGAGGTCCGAAGAGAGGGGGAGGACACGGTAATCCTCGAGTCCGGCAACTTGTTCTATCACCGGGAGGGCGACCATCAGTCCCAAGGAGGTGTCGGATTTATCGTCCACAAATCTCTCGTCAACAACGTTGTAAAGATTGGGAGTGTGTCGACGAGGGTCGCGTACCTGATACTCAGAATCACCAAACGGTATTCGCTGAAGGTCATACAGGTCTACGCACCAACCTCGGCACATCCCGATGAGGAGGTGGAGGAAATGTATGAGGATATTTCTAGAGCCATACATTCCTCCAAAACCCACTACACGGTGTTGATGGGAGACTTCAACGCAAAACTAGGCACAAGAGAAGGTGGTGAGCTGAAGTTATGGAAATTTGGAGTAGGGCAACGGAACCGTAGGGGCCAGCAGCTGGCTGACTTTATGGAGAGAGAGGGACTCTTTATGATGAACTCTTTCTTCCAGAAGCGGCCCCACAGGAAGTGGACCTGGTCGAGCCCCGACGGTTCGACAAAAAATGAGATTGACTTCATTATGACGACCAGACGCCAACTGTTCAGTGATGTCTCAGTGATCGCAAGGGTGAAAACCGGCAGCGATCACCGAATGGTTAGAGGCACACTGAACCTAAACGTTAAGTTGGAGAGGTCTCGTCTAATGAAGTCAACGCTCCGTCCCCCTCGTGCTCTAATCCAGAATCCCGAGACTTTTCAGCTCGAGTTACGTAACCGCTTTCAGTGCCTAGAAGATTGCAATGCAGTGGACGATATGAATGACAAGCTCGTGGAAACTGTCCATGCGGTCGGAGCTAAGTTCTGCAAGACCCGCCGCAGAAGAACACAAAAACTCTCCGATCACACTCTTAATTTCATGGCTGTTAGACGGGAGATGAGGCTGCAATCGTCAACAGATTTGACAGCATACAGGCAACTGAACAGACAGATCTCCAAATGCATGCGGCAAGACTTACGCAACTTTAATACTGCTCATATTAAAGAAGCGATCGAGCGGAACCAGGGCTCCAAAGTCTTTGCCAGAGATCTGTCTGCCAGAAAGAGCCAACTGTCAAAGCTGAAGACCGAGTGTGGCAGCATCGTTTCCGGGACACCTGAGATTTTGAGTGAGATTGAGAGGTTCTATGGGCAGCTGTACACATCATCGTTGGAGCCACACGCAAGTGTGAGTAACGATACAAGAGCAAGTCTTACCCGACACTATTCCGATGATATCCCGGACGTCAGTCTGAGCGAGATTAGAATGGCTCTCCAGCACCTTAAAAACGGCAGGGCCCCAGGTGAGGATGGAATTACAGTGGAGCTTCTGAAAGTGGGTGGAACACCGGTACTTGAAGTCCTTCAGAAGCTCTTCAATTCCGTCTTCCATGGTGGCACTACTCCGGAAGCGTGGAGCAGAAGTGCGGTGGTCTTGTTCTTTAAGAAAGGCGACAACGCTCTCTTGAAGAACTACAGACCGATTTCCCTTCTGAGCCGCGTCTACGTGCTGTTTTCGAGAGTCATTACGAATCGTCTCGCACGCAGACTCGACGACTTCCAGCCTCCTGAACAAGCCGGTTTCCGAAAAGGCTTCAGTACCATAGACCACATACATACCCTGCGGCAGATTGTACAGAAGACCGAAGAGTACAATCTGCCACTTTGCCTGGCATATGTGGACTATGAGAAAGCCTTTGATTCCGTCGAAATTTGGGCGGTGCTACAGTCCCTTCAGCGGTGCCAAGTTGACTGTCGGTATATCGAGGTGCTGAAGTGTTTGTACAGTAGGGCTACGATGGCTATCCGAGTACAGAACCAGAGTTCGAAACCTATCCAACTGCAGAGAGGTGTAAGACAGGGTGACGTTATATCCCCGAAACTCTTCACCGCTGCGTTGGAAGACGTTTTCAAGCTACTGGACTGGAAAGGATACGGTATTAACATCACTCACCTTCGATTTGCCGACGATATAGTCCTTATGGCAGAATCGCTGGAGGACCTTAGCACTATGCTCAATGACCTGAATGAACCTCCCAACGGATAGGTCTTAAGATGAACATGGACAAAACAAAGATTATGTTCAATGTCCATGTCACACCTATGCCGGTAGTTGTGGGGAGCACTATGCTCGAAGTTGTTGACGAGTACGTTTACCTGGGACAAATAGTCCGACTAGGTAAGTCCAACTTCAACCGAGAGGTCAATCGACGGTTTCAACTCGGCTGGGCAGCGGTCGGGAAATTACGATACATCTTCTCGTCAGGTATACCTCAATCTCTGAAAACTAAAGTGTACAACCAGTGCGTGTTGCCAGTGATGACTTACGGATCAGAGACGTGGTCCTTCACTGCTGGCCGTATGAGGACGCTCAAGGTCGCTCAGCGAGCTATGGAGAACGTAATTAATGCTCGGGGATTATCTGCGTAATAAACTCAGAAATGAGGATATCCGCAGTAGAACTAGAGTGACCGACGTAGCCCAACGGATTAGTAAGCTGAAGTGGCAATGGGCCGGCCATATAGCTCGAAGAACCGATAACCGATGGGGAAGAAAGGTTCTCGAGTGGCAGCCTCGTACCGGTAGGCGTAGTGTAGGGCGACCCCCCACTAGATGGAGTGACGACCTGGTAAGACATGCAGGAAGTGGATGGATGCAGGTGGCTCAGGACCGTGCTTTGTGGCATTACTTGGGGGAGGCCTATGTTCAGCAGTGGACTTGTGAAGGGCTGTAATGATGATGAATGATGATGATGATCGCTCCCTTTCTAACAGTGTGGCAAAATTTTCTATAATGAAATATAACTACGAAATGTTTATATAGCAATTACTATGGAACCAAAAGCCGTGCTTTGCCCTGAAGTTGTTTAGGAATGCGTTATTGAGTGGGGGGTACGGGCAATACGTTTGCAAGTTCAGTTCACATTTCAATGTTTATTTTTGTTGTGTCTGTTAAAATTTTATGCTTTTTCAAAGATTTTTAGTGTAAATGGGAGGATAATAGTGTTCCTTGTGATGAATATTAGTGTGTTAAAGTACTAATCGGCGAGGAAATTTTAATTCAATAAACATTTCTTCATACTTTAATAGATACAAGACTCTTTAGTATTAAAGTTTAATTATTCTAGGCGTATTTAAAGGTTTAATAACTCAATACTTATATTACCATATGAGTTAAAAATATCATTTTGAAATTCAGCATAAAATATGAGATACATAGGTATTAGTTTAATTTTATAGCAAATAATTGTTACAATCTTTTTTTTTAATGTGAAGCCCAAATTTTAATGTTATAAATTAAATCGCATCCGAAGCTGGATGCTTCAGGAAGCGGATACTAGGGACAAATATCACACGAGGGTAGCCGAAAAGCTTGACACCATCGATGGCAGGAAAGAATGTGTGGAGAGAACATGGCAGAACCTTAGGGATGGAATGGTAAGTGCAGCGGAAGAAGTATGTGGTACGACAAAAAGAGGTAGTAGTAAAAGAAGAGATGCATGGTGGAATGATGAAGTGAGAGAAGCTGTAAAAAAAGAAGAAAAAAGCATGGTTAGACTACTTGGCCTCTAGTAACGATGAGCATATGAGAGAGAAGATGAAAGAAAGATATAAGCTGCAGAAAGTTCATGCGAAAACATTGATTGAGGAAGTACGTGAAAGGTGTAGAATAGAAGCGGACGAGAGGTTGTCGCACAACTTTAGGGAAAACTCCAAACTCTTCTGGAAAGAGGTTGGAAGGTCCCGGAGTGGTGCGACAGCCTTAAGAATGAACAAAGTGCTTTCAAGAACCAATGACGTCCTCTCAGAAAAATCGGACGTCATGCAGCGATGGAGTGAATTTTATAGAGAAATGTATGCGTGTCATGATCTTAGTGAAGGATCCGGGGGTGACGCCGTGACTGGCACGCCAGACACGGACCTCGATGACACTGAGGTCATCAGCATGAAAGAGATTGAACGTGCGATTCGAAGTTTGAAATGTGGTAAGGCTGCGGGACTAGACAGAGTTACTGCTGAAATGGTCAAGTACGGCGGGCCTCGCGTCAGGGACAGCTTCCATCTGCTGTGCAATTTGTGCTGGCGGACGGGAGATGTCCCGGATGATTGGCGATCCGCGGTCATATTGCCTTTATATAAAGGTAAAGGTTCACATTTTGACTGCGGGTGCTATCGGGCGATCAGCTTGACCAGTTTAGCAAGTAAAGTTTACTCGAAGGTTTTGACAAGTAGGATGCAAGAGAAATCGGAAAGATTCTTATGGGAGGCACAATGCGGATTTAGACCTGGAAAAGGATGCACGGATCAAATGTTTTCTCTCCGCATGATCACGGAGAAGCTTCTGAGTGTTAACCAGAAGATTTTCTGTGCTTTTGTGGATCTGGAGAAAGCATTTGATAAGGTTATAAGGAAGAAAATGTGGGAACTGTTGCCGGGATATGGTGTGGATGGTCGATTGTTAAGGGCTGTGCAGTCACTTTACTATGACTGTAAAGCCTGTGTGCGGGTAGGGCATGACCTGTCACCCATGTTTAGCGTCCAAGCGGGCGTAAAACAGGGTTGTGTCACGTCTTCCTGGCTGTTCATACTGTATCTCGACAGCTGTTTACAGAAGCTGAAAAATAGCTGTTTGGGTGTGAAATTGGGTGACATAAAAGTTAATTGTCTGCTGTATGCTGATGATGCAGTGCTTATTGCACCATCAGAAGCAGAACTGCAGGCATTAGTCACGTGTATGAAAGAGGAATGTGAAATTAAAGGTCTCCGTTTGAATGCTAATAAAACTAAGGTTCTGGTATTTGAAAAGGACGAAGAGAGAACGAAATGTGAAATATGGGTAAATCAGGAATGTCTAGAACAGGTAAATGAAATTGTATTCTTGGGGAGTGCTTTCAGCCTGGATGGAAGATGTGATTTAGATGTGGATAGGCGTGTCGCTGCCGGAAACAAAGTCAATGGTGCCCTGAATGCATTAGTAAAAATGCAAGGCGTGGTGAAGAGTGCACGCCTTGCAATACATAATGCAGTGTTGGTACCGACTTTGTTATATGGCAGCGAAACCTGGGTATGCCAGAAGAAGCATAAAAGCAAGTTGAATGCAGTGGAGATGCGATCTCTTCGTAAAATGTGTGGCGTTACCTTAGCCGACCGAAAGCGAAACGAAGAGATTCGCAATATGGCAGGATTGAAAGATGACCTTATCACAAAAATTGATAGGGGCGTACTCCAATGGTTTGGGCACGTTGAACGAATGAGTGAAGACCGAATGGTGAAGAAAATATATAGAGCGAAAGTAAATATTAAAAGGTGTCGAGGTAGACCGAGACTAACTTTCGAAGACCATGTGAGCAAATTGCTCGAAGAGGGGAGGGTCAAGAGTACTCGGATACCTAGACGTGCGTGTATGAAGAACTTAATGAACCTGAAAGAAGCGAAAGAGGTATGTAAGGATCGTGACACTTGGCGATCTGTTCTCTCTGGCTACCCCGTTAGGGATTGTGCGTGAAGATTAGTAAGTAAGTAAGTAAGTATAAATTAAATGAATAAATGTATAGAGGTTTTTAAAGAATATGTACTTTAGTCCTTAAAGCTTTATCTTCTCAGTTCAGTATATAAAATTTAATTCTATAGGTGAAGTCATTTTATCGAACGTAAAATGATTGATTCTCACGGTGGTACGTAAAGATTACACTAGATGGCACGAACACGCTATCGGCTAATTTAATAATTTAATATTTATATTACCTTAAGAGTTAAAAATATCATTTTGTACGGTTTGTTAAAATTGAAAATGAATAATTATACAGTAAACAGTCATTATTTTATTGTAAAAAAAAATTGCAAAGCTTTATCTTCTCATTATATCATACAATTGCATGTGTAATACAATCTATGTAGCGGTAGTATGCCTTCTGTGTGCTTTGTTAAACACATCCTTGACAGCACTGAATATGAAACTGAAGAGTGGAGATAGATCAAGATTGGTGTATTTTTATAAAACTGCTAAAAAAAACAAAACCATATCTTGGGCTTGCCCTAGTTTGGAGCCCTACCTTCGCCACTGACAAGCACCCACGCACGTACACACGTACTTACACGTAACAATACTTCTTTAAAAACGTGTTGTTTCCTGTACAAATTATATCCATATTCCACCCTTCGAATTTCCTTTTCCACCTATACATGTCCTAAAATGGTATCTTCACTTACATACATTTTCATACATACGCCTGTGCATATTTTGTAACAGTATACAACATGTCAACCAGACATCTATATAAACATTCTCGCCTCGGTTCTATTGGGTATATCCATCTGGGTTGCTATCACCCTCACTCTAATTCTGCCGACAAGCAACTATATATGCACTGCTGTGTTCTGCTCTTAAGGGTATAGAGAGACAGTATAATTACACACTATGCACCTCATTTCATTTTAGCCTTCTTTGATTGAAATTAGCTTCAGGTACTCATCAGCTACTGTAGCCTTGTATCATTAAGAGAAGTGTAAGTCATTTGTCACTATAACTATATATATATATATATATATATATATATATATATATATATATATATATATATAAAAGTGAACTTCTCTAATGATATTCGGCGTAGAGGTGATAACTATGGCTGAAAATGTGTACTCTGATGTATCTCCGGAATAGTGTTTCCTAAGAATTACTTAAAATGTAACTGCTGCATTGTTGGTAAAATTATTATCAAGTTATTACATAAATTAACCAAAATGATTGTAAAAATTCAAATTATATATCTATTAAGCACGTGCCTGGAACCGGGAGCATTGTGTCTATGAAACACGCTTGTGATACTGTCCAGATTGTAACACCATCTCTATCGATTTTGAGTACACTGTAGAGTCCAATCTATAACGTAACGGATTTTTTTTTCAAATATTTCATGTTATAAGCTGAGTCATTTGCCTATTCTATTTCCTTATTTCACCCTGTCGTTAGAGTCAACCGAGGTAAGGGCCTCGGAGCCTTGACTCAAAGTCTCGGAGGTGTACTACTTAGATCAACCTTTAACCTCACACGGCTAGTTACTGCCGACCGCTTTATTGCAGCTATTTTTATGATATGCTTACACAAATATAGAAAACGTAACCAAAGGTCATACGTCAATATGAAGCCAACTACGGTAACATAACCACACTTCAGCTTAAGGGTCATAGGCATACATAGACTTAAAATAGTATATTTTACTTACTTGGTACAAGTACATTATATAAAAAAAATTGTACAGGCTTGGTACAGGTTACTTAAGATTAACGAAAATGCCCAGTACCAATTAGTAAATGAGTACTTGTGGCATCTCAAACAATTATTACAAAGTCATTTACTAAAAAATTGTTGTTTTTTTTTAGCGTAAGAAGCTGATAAAAACCAAACGCAGCAGTCAAGCTGAGTCAAGTCAAGTGGTTGTGAAGGAGGAACCACCACAGGAGGGCGAAGTGGATACTTGTCGTGTTTGCAAGCTGCGGCTCGAAGCCAATCGCAAATACACGCACGAGCGGTTCCTCGTCTGCTCCAATTGTAACGCTAAGCGTGAGTTTGTCGCTGTTAACTATTATTATATTTAAACGTTCTAGTTAATATTAGCGAAGTTAATAGTTGTTGCGGTTAAGCTGATACCCTCGAAAATTTGGTGGTTATTCTATTTCACATTTTTTTTAAAGGTTATAGATTACGAACCAAATTTTTGGTATACACAATAATGTAATTTTCTCGATAGAAAAAAATTGCAAAGTAGGCTCTAATTAGTTACATTTCTCGATGACACCACAATATTTTTACGAATAATTTAATGAAATTATTTTTAAGGCGCAGTAAATAATCGTATCTAAGTTCTCACAAACCATTTTTTTTATCCACAACAAAGTTTTGTTAAAAAAATGTTGTATAGCGCTTACTTAAATTTTTTATCGCGTAAAGCTATGTCATAATTTGTTTTTCGTTCACATTTGACGTAAATTCGTTCACTTTATTTTGACACTCCCTCAGTCGTTCGTGAGCTTTACCGACAAAAGGATAAGTCACGCCCCCAAAATTACGATTGATTTTCAAAGTATCCTCTAAACTATCAATTCATAATTTACATGGTAGAGCCAAGTTGCAGCTATATTATAGTTGTAGCATGAATGAGTCGGCTCGACCGGGACCACGCTCCCACAGAATAGCAGCATAATGCTGCTGTGTTTAGTATGGTCAGTGTAGAGGACCGGAGACCCGTTCGACTGGAATCGAGGTATTCCATCTTAGTCTTCAGGGGTGACAACGCATTTGCATTTTGATTCCTAATTGAGGATAAATGTGGATGTCTATGGGCCACAATATCCACTTATTGTCAGGTGGACTGTGTGCCCGTTTGTCACCCAACACTATAAAAAATGTTTGCATAACACACCAACTCTGCTGGGCTCTCTCTTTGCGTCCAACTCGACTCTTGAGGACGGAGGGAACACACCGCCGACCATCCCGTGGAGTAAGTGCTCCATGCAGGATGTCCTGTTTACCCGACGCTCAGTGCGCAGAGCACTCCTCTCCCTGGACGTCAACAAATCGAGTGGGCCGGATGGCGTCCCTCCTATTGTGCTGAAGTCGTGTGCTCCGGAGTTGGCACCGGTCTTAACGCGTCTTTTCCGGTACTCCTACTCCCTCGGCGTAGTCCCGAAATCATGGAAGATAACCCTTGTGCACCCGATCACGAAAAAAGGTAACCCCTCTGATCCGTCCAACTATAGGCCTATCGCCATTACCTCCTTGTTCTCTAAAATAATGGAATCCATTATTAACAGACAGCTCATGCAGTACCTTGATGATCACCAGCTTATTAGTGAACTCCAGTACGGTTTCCGTCTCGGTCGCTCGGCTGGTGATCTTCTGGGTTACCTAACTCATAAATGGGTGGATGCAGTAGAGTCCAAGGGGGAAGCGTTGGCCGTTAGTTTCGATATAGCGAAGGCCTTCGTTCGGGTTTGGCACAAAGCCCTACCTTACGAAGCTTCCTTCGTATGGGCTTCCCGAGAAATTGTGCAATTGGATCATCAGTTTTCTTGCTGATCGGAGCATCGAGGTCGTAGTAGACGGTGCATGCTCCGATTACAAGCCCATTAACGCTGGTTTTCCACAAGGCTGCATGCTATCACCAATGTTGTTTCTTCTGCATATCAATGACGTGTTGCAAACCGGTAAAATTCATTGCTATGCAGATGACAGCACTGGTGGTTATACACCGGCCGTGCAAATATTTCTCGGGAAAACGTCGCAGAGTACCGGGACAAACTTGTGTCTAAACTTTGTTGAACAATGTCTCGGACTGAGGGCGACTAAATCTAGTTTAGTTTAATCTCCAGAAGACACAAGTTTACGCGTTTACCGCTAAAAAAACCCCTTCGTCGTATCTCCTCAGTTCCAAGGCACTCCCCTTGTTGCCTCAGGAATCCTCGGCGTCGACATATCGACTGACGAGCAATTCCGTGGTCACTTGGAAGAGAAGTCCAAATTGGCCTCTAAAAAGCTTGGCGTGCTCAGCAAAGCGGGACAGTATTTCATGCCGGTTCACTGCCTGCAACTTTACAAGAGGCAGGTTCGGCCGCACATGGAATATTGTTCCCATCTCTGGGCCGGGGCTCCCCAGTGCCAGCTCCTTCCATTTGTTCGCATCCAGCGCAGAGCTGTTCGAATCGTTGGAGACCGAGCTCTTTCCGATCGGCTTGGCACTGCGAAGAGATGTTGCATGTTTGCGTATTTTATCGTATCTACCACGGGGAGTGTTCTGAGGAATTGTTCGGACTAATTCCAGCCGCACAATTTCATCATCGCACATCTCGACAAAACTCGTGATACCATCCATATCATCTGCATGACTGGCGGTCCACCACCGTGCGATTTAAAAGAAGCGCACAACTTTCTTGTGGAATCGACTACCACCAGAGATTTTTCCGGAACGATACGACTTAGGGACCTTCAAGAAAAGAGCTTACTCCTTTTTAAAAGGCCGGTAACGCATCTGCATTTCCCCAGGTGTTGCAGTTGTTCATGGGCGGCGGTAATCACTTACTATCAGATGAGCCGTATGCTCGTTTGCTCCCTCTCATATAAAGAAACTTGCAAGAATGAAAGATTTTCCCATACTCAGTTAATGGGTTGGTGACTACAAAACCGATAGATACCCTAGCATCGATAATACTTCTCACTAGCATAATTCATAAGACATTATAATACGTATTTCGTATTGATAGAATAGGGTATTTTATACCATGTTAAAAAAATCAAAAAATATATATTTTGTGATATGTATTGTAAAAAGTAAATGAAAAATATTGATTTCTATTATAAATTTTATAATTAAATTTTAAGAATAATTTTTTATCTGTACCTCAAATCTCCAAAATGCTATCCGCCATATTAGAATCCGTCGCGACGTCACTGGTTCAGTGAACTAGCTAATGTGCCGTGTGTTATTTCGAAAATTTTCAAGTTATCATTAAGTACGGTTGTTGAGTTTTATTCCGAATTCTAATGAAAAGGCATCATGGAAGACGGATTCATAAAGCAAGTAGGAAAACAGAAAGACATACAAATAGGGCAACCACTACCAAGGACGTGTCTCTTTGTCACCCTATCCTATAAAAAAAAAAAAAAAAAAAAGCAGAAAGTACTGATCTACTGGATAAGAATAAATACATTGATGGTGGCAAAATTATTTGCATGCGATCCCGATTTTTGTTCTGCCTAGTTAAGGAATGTTAAAACATCAAAGTAACCTATTACCAACTTTTGTTTATACAATAACACAATACCAGGTCAGAGTGTATTTTGATAATACATAGTTATGTTTATCTATGATTATACAATTATTAGCAATCATTTGTTATAATAACGTAATCTATTACAAAATTTTACTTGCAATACCTATCACCTCATGATGTTTTGTTTTGAATAAACGATAGTTAAATATAAGTCGTACTTACATCAAAATGATCTTGACAGTAGTATAGTCTAGTTTTTGTAGACTGTTTTGTTGACTGAATGTATTCGGTATTTGGGTATCCTCTTGTCAGTTTTAACCAAGTATTTCTCGTGTTTAAATCAGTTGGCACTTAAATACATAATTGCCCCGGCGTTCTTATGCTCGTATTTTTGTATTCAGACACAACACACCAGTGATAAAGATGATAACTCATTTTTAACATCCAAAAATATTTTATTCCTTTGCAAAATCGGCAAAATCCTAGGACAGTGACGTCCATGGTGGCTAGCGTTTTCGCGCGAAAATTTAAAACTATAAATTAAAAGAAATTTTTATGACACTATTCAGTTTAAAAAAAATATAGTGGTTCATTATCACGAGGATTCATTTAACCCATCAAGCGTCATAAAAATCCCATGCAGCAGTCGCATGCGCCCGGCAAATCCCGAGCAAAATTCTCTATCCTGTGGTCTAAACAAAAGTCAGGTTTTACTTCATTACAAAAAGATTTTATTGTGTTTTGATTAAAAAAAAAACATACCAAGCGAATGTCGGCAGCGTGAAAGTCACACTTATTTCAATATATATTAATCGAAATTATTTATATAAAAAGATAAATTATATTCACACAAACACTTTCATTACAATTTTATAATAAAACACTATACTAAAACACTAACAAAACACTAGCTAGAAAATTCCAAAAATCAACACAACAACATTCATGCGAAAATGGCGTACGAAATGAACGTAGATTATAAATAAATACTCATAGGATAACAGTTTTTTATTGCACTAGAGCTAGAGGATAGAGTATTTCATATTGATTATATAATGCCAAACTTCTTCATAGAAAAGTACATGGGTTAAAGTGCTATGGGTGGGCGCGACCTCATGAGACCGCTAGGGATTCGACGGAATATGGCCGCGGTTTTATGAGACCGCTAGCTTGGGAGGTTAAAACATTATTTGAAAATGGGTGTAATCCCGATTGCTTTTGAATTAAATTTTCTCAACTATTGGATCCTATGCAGATAGTAGTACCCAGCTTGCTCTGTTGAAATATTAATATTTTTTTTAGATTTTAATTCAATAGCCTTACAAATAATTCTTTGTAGAAATCTATGTTCTTTTACGATTTGCGAGAATTTGTGGTCTATCAAATCGGATGCAGTGAATTTAATAAATTATTAATAAATAATAATTAATGATTTCTTAAATTTACACGAACACTACACATTGAATAAAACTAAATTTACGGATTCTATCGCGTTTAATTAATTACTTTTACTTATTTTTAATTCCCGACGTTTCGGGTGCTTTACAGCATAAGTAATTAGTTAAACGCGATAGAATCCGTAAATTTAGTTTTATTCAAATAATAATTATTTATTATAATTGAAATTTCACACTACATGTTATGTTTATCCAAAAATTATAGTTGAGATGTGGTAGAGCCATATGAGGAGTATATTATGGCAACAGTACAAATGAGTTGGCTTGACCTTAGAAATACCCCACCCTCACAGAATACCAGCGTGGAATAGCAGTAAAATGGTGCTTTGTTTCATATGCTGAGTGATGAGTACCAATCTGTGCACCAGGGCTATGCCCACCCACATACGGCATATGATGCCTAACAGTGCGTGTATAAGAGAACAGCGTAAATGGCAGTATAGCTGTAATATATATAATGCATACTATATGAGGCTATATGAGGGTGCCTGCCTCGTTACATCATTTTGAATGACTCGTTGGTCTAGTATTTGTAATTGCGACTGCTGATCATAAGGTTCTGAGTTCTGGGTTCGATTACTAGGTCAGGTCAAATATCAGTTATTGAGTTTTTCTGTCGAGAAATTCTCATTAGCAGCCAGCCAGGATATTGGCGGTGTTTTGCCTTGGAAAGCACGTAAAGTAGGTTTCGTGCCTGATCTCTCCCGGTCGTGTTGGATTGCCGTCCCTTCGGATTATGAGAAGAAGGGAATAAAGAATGCATCGGTGCTTGCGCCCACTTTCTTGCACTATAATTCTATACAACCCTGGTAATCTGACCGACTAGTCTACATTGAGTCTGGCCGTAACCCTTTTTATACAGTTTTTGTTTAATAAATACTTACTGTTGTTAGTGTTGTAAAAGCGCTATAGTTATATGGCGGTAGCTGTCCTCACCATTTCAATCGAAATAAACGGTTATCCGAAGTTTCAGTTCCCTTACCTGCATACTTACCATTGTATAAAAAAAACATGTGTGCAGTTCATACGCGTTAGTAGTGAAATGGAATATAAAATACAAAATATTTCATGGGAAATGATTTATTTACTACGATAATTTTCAACCACTAGTGAAGCATAAAATATGAGATAAAAGTTTAATTCTGTCCGTGTATGTGAGTGAACTTCTAACGGATGGACCGATTTCGATGAAATTTTGCATGTGTTTAAGGTTAACAAGAGAATGGATAAGATTCACAATTGGATCTGGTTGGTAGGTGGCGCTGTTGTCGAGATCCAGAAATTACCCGTGCGAATCGCTAGTTTAATATAATATTCTATCATTCTCTTGCAGTCTAAATCTTATGTTATTCTTATCTTATGTTATATGTTTGTATTTTTTTAGTGTTTCATTTTCGTTTGATCGAGTTTCAAATAACAAGGGTCGTAAAGAAGTTTACAGTTCAAAAATAACCGTGGTGCGTGTTGCAGTGCACCCGGGCTGCGTGGAGCTGGGCGCGGACACGATCCGCAAGTGCCGCGAGTACGCGTGGCAGTGCGCCGAGTGCAAGACGTGCTGCGCCTGCCGTCTGCCGGCCGACGACGACAAGATGCTGTTCTGCGACCTGTGCGATCGCGGTTTCCACATCTACTGCGTGGGCTTGCAGCACGTGCCTAGCGGTCGGTGTTCCGTGCTCCGTGCACTATTGCGCTATCCTCACCCTCCCTTACACCATGGCAAATGTGCACTGCTGAAAATTATCCTCCCCCATACATTACCTTGGGTATGTTCCGAAACGTTTTCAGTATACTGCCGAATACAAATGACGTCATCAATTGACACTATATTGTACTGGCATATTGCGTCGGATATCCGGCCATAATAAAACAATTTTTAATTGTGTGTGCGTTGAATGAAGCATGCCAGAATTTGTTTTTATTTATTCAAATATAAAAAATTATAGAATAATTGTTGGTATCTCCATTAGAAGGATATAATGATTTTTGGAGCATAAAATGACAAAATAATCGCAAATACTTTTCCAATATGGCGCAAATGTATGACGTCATATACTGACCTATGTTTTGGAACAAATCACCAGTATAGCGACGGTTCATGACGTCATTTGCATTGGACAGTACACTGGGCTCTATTTTGGAATATACCCCTTGGTTATTTTCCATTGTGAAGAATAAAAGCGAAAAGCGAAAGAAGAAAAGCGACGTTTGCCAATTGTGGTACAATTGGCAAACGTCGCTTTTAAAAAGACGCTACTGTCCGTCTGGTTTACTTCCCTCTTACGACACCTATGGAACGATATGAGTTGGTGTATACTCTCATACTGCCACTACAAGGTCCAATATTAACCCTCCATTTATTTATTCCGAACTAGATTTTTCCCGCGACTTAGACCGCGTAAAAATTACACAATGAAACATGCAAATTTATAATACTGGTCTCGTAGTTCAACTATCGAAACATTTAGTATTTTTAGTAGTTAGTGAAAACCAGGTACGTGCAATATGGGGAAATGTTAAAAATATTAACGTAAATAGTTCTTATTATATATTTAGCACTTTCATTAATAGTTTAATAATACAATATATTGTTTTATAAACATAAATGTTTATAAAATGGTGTTGAAGTAAAAAACTACCCTATTTTACATAAAAAATTTAATAAATGTTTGAAAATTTTATACTTTATTTGAGATAATCATCAAAAACCATTTGGTTCAGCCATTCCAAAAATTAGCCCATATGGACAAATATTTCAAAATTTTTTTGTGTTAATGGCATGCAAATAAACCCTGAGCTTTATAAAAGATATTACAAATAGGCATTTAGTTTTATTTATATAGTATAGATAACACTGATTGGGTTGTCGTCACCATTCAACAACTGCGGGTGTATCTAATAAATGGTTCTATCTTTTTGTTCTCATAAGTTGCACGGAGCTATGTAGTGGTAGCGTGAGAGAGTCCACTACCCCAAATCATTCCACGGGTGTCTTGAGAGGCGTCAAAGGGTTAACTAAAACAGCAGTGCAGTAGCATCATTCCGATAACAACTCAAAAAAATGCAGTTGCACATCACCTTTCAAGCGTCAAGCGTGGCAATTATACCCTGTATCTGCCTTAGAGGCAACCTTGTTTCAGCTGTAGACTTTTGATAGGTTCTCATGTATGAGTGAAAAAATTAAATATTTATAAGTCGTAAAGCCATGGTGCAGCTATATTATGGTTGTAGCTGAAAGGTTCAGCTTGACCGGGGAAGGACCATACTTTTACAGAATACCGGGGTTAAAGCAAGTTAATGCTGCTGTGGTTCATATAGTGAGTATAGAGAATCTCAGAGGTTACAAGGTACTGCATTTTGTTTCTTAATAGAGTATAAATGTAGATGTTTATGTACTGCATCATCTACTTACCATCAAATGGACTGTGTGCTTATTTGTCACTTATTCTATTCAAAAAAAAGGTATATTTCTGCGAAGTTTAGGTGGACAGTTGAACAGTGGCATTGACTTGCTGTTTCCGTTCTGTTGTTTAAATAATGTTTGAAAAGTAGAGTTTTATAAGTAAAAGTGATATGATTTTATGGATATATAAATGTTTGCGCATGTGAGCTTGTGGCTTGAATGGTGATATAAATCACAGGTTTTTTCGCTTAGGGACTTTGAGATATTTTTGTCATAAACTGTCTGCTAGGTTAAGCTGTTGTTAAAATCTCCTAAGAACTTTGCAATGTGACGTATCATCATATTGTGAACAAAATATAAATCAGACTAGGTTTTATGGTGTAAAGACCTTTGCCTGGTTTATTTTACAGTTCGTAACAGGAAAAAACTTGTTGTTATAACATGGTAGAGTCTCACTGCAGCTGTATTATAGTTGTAGCACGAATGGGTCGTCTCGACACAATACCAGTGTAAAGTGGCAGCTGGCAGCTGCTGTGTTTCATGTGGTAAGTGTAGACAACTGGAGACTTTTTTTTACTGAAAACGAGGCACCATCTCACAGAAATCAAGGCTGACAACTCAACTGCATTTTGATGATTCCTGATTAAAGTATAAATGTAAAGTGTGTGCTCGTTTTTCACGCTTATTGTAATAAAAAAAATTGTACTTTTGTGTAGGTCGGTGGCACTGTGCGGAGTGCGCGGTGTGCAAGTCGTGCGGCGCGCGCGAACCGGGCGGCGCGGCGGGGCGCGGGGGCGCGGGCGGCGGAGGCGAGGCGCCGGCCGAGTGGCACCACCAGACGCGGCGCGGGCCCGGCGGACACAAGCTCTACTCGCATTCGCTGTGCACGCCCTGCGCCAGGTCAGTACGCAAAGCACGCCCGCAACTTCAAGCCCAACTCGGGCGAAACATCGTACTTTGGACACGATTTTGACGCGCAACATTTGATACTTCTACATACAACATGTAATAATTAACGCACATCCTGGAAGTAGTTTGTTCAGAATCGTTTAATGAATCGATTCCTATAATTTTTAATATAGGTAATTTTTTATCCCAAAAATAATTAAAACTACGTAAATGACAGTCACACAATCTGTACAGTCAAAACAAACTGAAATGGACCGTAACTTGAGGCAATAAGACTTTCAAGAGTGCAGTTTTATTTGTAATTATTACTAATTCTGTCATTCAATAAAAATAGAGAAAAATGAACTTTATTTCAAGAACGTTAGTCTTTGCGTTCGTGGATTTGTACTGTGACCACAACATTCTTCTGGAATTACTATAACTAATTTGTTAATTAATCAGTGCCTAAAAATGTTTAACTAAAAATTCAGTGTTATGTATTATGATTATAACATAATATACTATTTGGGGTGTCTGACGGTGTGCGTTAATTACGTTACATATATTGTATACAGTATAAGCTCGGAAAAAAAATATGCGCACACATGAAATACTCGATTAAATTCTTGTAAAATGGATTTTTCAAATGTTTTATATTAGTCGTGACCAAAAAATTATAATTTATAATCGCCGGGAAAAAAATTTGACGTACGAGTTCTCGAATTTTTTAACGATAATTTATGTCCATGCCGCAGAAAAGTAAAAAAATTAACGCCCTTAACGCGCCCAATTTATATAGTTAATTTACTTTTACGTTCCTGACGTTTAGAGTACTTGCAGTATCGATGCTCATGGGGGTCAATAATTAAATAAAATTCGTAAAAACTAGTTTCATTATATTAATGCATAAACCCTGGGTTCCATATAAACTATGCTTCCATCTACAAAAGTAGAAAACATACTACAAAATTTAATGTTAAGAGAAGATTGTAAAAATTTATGGTGTCTAAACATTGCTAAATATTTAGCCGTGATTCCTATTCAATTTTTTGATCATTGTGAATTTTGTAACGAATAGTTTTCAATAAATAAGATTGTACATGCACTTCATTAAGAATAAAAGGCATTGTAATAGAAAATGAAACAATGCAAGTAATGTGAAGATGCTATGCTGCCCATTATATCATAAGACTCAAGGACTAAGCACTCACGAACTATCCGAATAACCCTGCGGTTTTATTTTATAATAGACATGTCAAACCACATGACGGTAAGTAATTATATGTTTATAGTGGCAACCCATGTACATTCCTTACACCTCGAACCAAAAGATAACATTGAATGCATTGTTGTTCAAAAGAGTGGCCCACCCAAACAGGTTCAGACAGGATAGAAAAACAGGTGGACCCTCTATACCTAGTACTTAATTAATCCATACAACACTTCACCGCTATATCATTCTATGGAGTTTTCGGAAATTTTACATGTATCTTTAAACTTCTTAGTTTTCGGTTCTTTATGCTATTGGGCATATAATCACCCATATATCTGATATAAAATGTGCAAGCCGTGTGACAGTAGCAATGCTAGATTCACAAATGAATGCCAAACTTGCTTGACTGATTATGAGTCGAATAAGAAAACATTTCCAGTACCCTATATCATCTGTTGGCGTCGTAAAAAGCGATAAAGGGAAATGAAAAAGAAAATAGACTACGGAATATTTCTGATAACAATTCAAAATAATAAAAAGCTGAGGCTGCCAATCCTCTGCTAAGTGTGCCACTAATATGACTTGCGCTGAGGAGTGGACATGATAGGTTGTATAATTGATGATGTTTAATAATATATTTAATTGTGATAGGCGGCAGTAGGTACCGCTTATTTTACCCTAATAATAGTCGCAATAAACTGATTAGCTGTACATTGTAGAAAAATTGATCATCCCTAATTTGAATTGTGACTCACGTCACGTACAAACATGCAACATAAACTTCGATGATATTTCTAGTAACTTGAATAGGTATCTAAAGAATAGTAACTCTTAAGGGTTGTATAAATGTTGTTTGTTTATTTTTCGTAAGTGCAAAAATTCATAGAATTTTATGCAATCTTATTTGCTCTATATTATAAGTAATAATAATGGTAGTAAAAGGGTGGAGTCAATCACTACATCGAAGATTCCTTTACATTTTATTGGTCGCGCCTGATGGTGTTCGAAGTTGTTGACATGATTGAGTTCATTTAGAAAAGCGTCGCCTTATCTATGTTAGTGTAATTACTAGAGTGAAAATTCTAGTTAACAATTACTTATGACTGTTAAGTATATGAGATGTACGACGTATATGAGAAAACTTACAAATTCTAGCTAAATGTGATTATTACATATAGCATTTTCCTTCATTTATTAAAATATCAAGAGGAAAGACCTACTTCTTACTATTGTAGTTTTTAAAAAAGAATATTACAACTGGCTATTAAAAGACAATTACATTATAAATTTACCTTATTAATAAATAAAATTTAAGAATATTAATAATTAAACTGCTGTACGCTTCAATTTTGTATTTTATATACTACATCCTTATAACATGTGGTTAACAATGTTACGAGTACAAATATTGATTTCAAACGGTATATTGGCAATGCAAGATCAACAAAAATGAAATAATCTATATAATCATTGGCATTGCTTTCAAGTCAAGAGGAAGTGTGTGAAAACTTTGAAGTTCCTTTCATTTAGAAAGATAAAAACTAAAGAAAAAATTAATCATAATGGTGTAAACACAACTTTATTTGTGTTTGTTGCTGTTATCCCTAGTCTTGGTAGTAAATGTTTTTACGTCATTTCATGTGTGTTCAATGTGGACTAACAGAAGCCGTTCTATAATTTTTTTTTACATTAGCCTTTACACTGTCGACATTCGCTTTTACTTCTTATCTCGTAGCATTTTGGACCCTGCGTATCGTTTCTATGACCCAGAGCAGCATTCTTTATACGCACATAATGTTGGCTGCCTAATTCTACTAAGAAATGACGGATTAATATAGGCTTTTATTGAACAGTTTGTTGGAGGAATATGGAACCAAATTTATAAATGTTGTTATTTAGCAGAATTAGGCTATTATGTAATGTTGCATGCTACACATCCCTTTAAATGTAAGTTACTTATAGTTAAATTTAGAAGACTGACTGCCCTACTTATTTTTTAGAGTTACTTTATTACTTTGACAGTTTATGGCAGATAGTTTTCTTTGAGAAACAGTAAAGTGGTATGTTTTATTACTAAAGTTAATTATTTATGATTTAATGCCACCTATACTGTTTTTGTCTATTTTTACTATTGGTAAATCAATCTCATTACATTATAATAATAGCAAGTGAAGCGATTTATAAATTGGTTTCTGATATTGTGATATTTATTTATAATGTACATTTACAATTTTTTTTTTCAAATTAATCGCCTCAATTGCCGTTATATCATCAATGGGTGTCAATCATCAGTCACCGTCGATTATCCCACTAACTTCCTGTTTTCATTTGTGTAAAAAAACACTAACACGGGCATAGCGTTACATCTATTTCAGTGCATACACTAACATGAGAATTTTTATTACTTGCCTTCCGGCTCTGTACTCATATTATATATTTGTATATATACTATTCACACATTAAGTATTGAATTATGTTCTTTTATATAATTTAATATATATACCAGTAATTTATTAAGATATTAATTAACGTTCAAGTATATATTCACTTTAATGTAGAATTTATGATACTATTTAGTATATTTAACTTATAAAGTATTTTATTATATAACTGATAATACATTTACTTTGAACACATGCATATCTTTATTAGCCCCTAAAAGTCCACTGTTGGACATGGGCCCATTCCTTTTTAGGGAGGATTTGTACATATAATATGATAGAAATATATTTATTTGTTAAAATATGTAAATTTTAAATGTCAAACACCTAATTCCCACACGAGCCGAACGAAGAGAAGTAATAAAATTGTAAAGGTCGAACCCGAAGCAGCGGGGCGTGATCACGTGTTGATACTAATGGCGTGTTTCTGTGTTCCGGTGCTTGTGCGCGTACGGTCCGTATGTGTGTGTGCGTACGTAGGGCGTATCGCATCGGTCGCTACTGCCCGCTGTGCGAGCGCTCCTTCATCGGGCCTAAGGGGACTATGCAGCTCGTCATATGTAAACTCTGCGATAGGCAACTGCATCAAGGTACGTCACCCGGCACGGTGCCAAGTAGAACGCATACTCCTCCACTCGCTACCCACCTGCTGTGTCACTGGCTGCTTGTGAAATGACATTTAAGTATGCATAATGATCGCTTTTTGTTAATGAGACATTTGACTAATTTAAGAGAATTATTTTAAAATAAAAAGATATAAATTTTAATTGCAAAATTTTCCCTCTATATTTATTAATATTATATAAATATTAATAATAGTAAAGTGAATGACTCAATATATCTGTTTGGGTTCATTATAGAAATATATTTTACATTAATAAGCCATTGGGTGTTCTAGCTACCTTTTTAAAGCCATATTTCTTTATTATATAAAAGATTTTTTATTAATTTATAAATATAAAAAATGGAAATTTATTTATTTAATTTTATTTAAACACTAGTAAATTTTTCGTAAATTTGTGAAATGTCTACATATATGTATAGGTACTTTAAATTATCTTCCCTAATCACTGAATTAAACGTAAAAATTTAAATGCTGTTTCATAAGTAGCAACCTTTTTTATATAATTGCTTTTAATAAAATATGAGGATACATGTTTTTAATCATTTTATATATATTTAGATATCCTTGTATTTGTCGCTTTGCTTACATTTATTATGCATCCATGCGCATGATATTACAATTTCACTGTTTCCATTATGAATGGTGTTGCCATATTATGTGTTATAAACACATACATCAGGTATTTATTGATGAGTAACTATATTTCCGACATCATTAAAAAACCTACATTTGCCAAAATGGTATCCACTTAAACAACCTTAAATCAAGAATATTATGCTGTATATAAGAAAATTTATGGTTTCAAACTTGACATTTTTAAAATGCTTTATTTTTGTGTTAGATTTGTTAGACAAACGTATGGGTGAAAGCATGATATATATACACAGTATACAATAATATAATGCCTTGTTTATTAGACGATAGCTGAATTTGTTCGGAACGCAAATAGAGATTGATTGAGGAATATATCCTCAAATAGTCAAATAGATTTGCCGAATTGTGTGTTTTGTATATTTGAAGAAAATCGGATATGTGATTTTGAACTTGTTTTGGGACAAAAATACAAGAAACAATAGTTTGATAAATTTACTTCAAATGAGAATACATAAATTCGTCTAAATGTTATATAGTATATGTTCAAACTTAATAATGTTCATGAATAATCAGTCTATATATATAAGTGATAATAATTCGTGGGCAGAATAAAATATAACAACATGGAAAATCTGCTGGCAGATTGGGATAAAATTACAAGTTAAAATACCCAAACTAATGCTAAAGAGTGCAAATGAAGAAACTCCGAACACTGGAACTGACATTAACATATAATTGTAAAAAACATATAATGTTTATTTTCGTAAAATATTATATGCAATCTTAATCAAGTTCAAAGTCGTATATTCAGGTGTTAGTGTAGTAAGTTTGTAATGTATTATTGTTCTTGCGCAGATTGCGTTAGGCAGACGGTGTCAAATCTGAACGTGCTGGACTACACTTGCGGAGACTGCCGGCGCGGCGGGATCACCTCTAGAGCGGCGGCCGTCCGCCTCGCGCCGAGGACGATCGCAACGCTTTTTATGGCAAAGCGCCGTTTCAACAAGTACGCGCACCGCCAATACATGCAGAGTCGTCTGCAAGGGCGGTCTAAAGCCTCAGAAAATTCGAACGACATAGTCGATGACGCGACTAACGACGCGACCAACGACGCGATCGAGTCGTGCGAGCGTCCCCACAGAGTCGACGACGCGTCCGACGTGTCGGACGGCGCTGAAGAAGTCCAAGACCCGCTTGACGTCGGTGACATCCCACCCGACTCCACCGACCCGACTGATTGAGTGCATCAACCGTTCAGTATTCGTCGCGTGTGTTAATGTTTACGTCTACCAAGTGAATACGTACAGTTCGTTTAGTTTCGTCGGAGTGCAGTGGACAAACCGCTTGTGACGGTAGAGTGACTATGTAATATATTATCTAGCTGTTATTAGTCTATATATAACTCTTATTTGCTTCGGTAATACGGTTGTAAGGTAAACTGTTGCATAAATCTGATTAATATAATGATTAACTAGTAGGTTATGTTTATGTAAGTTGTCGGATAGTGAAGGATACTAGGCATTGGTCTCTTTCTCGCTGCATTCTCTGATTTAAATGTAATGCGAAATGTGTTAACAGTTGGTTGGTTGAAGATAAAGACGTTGTATCCCTAGTTGGATGTAGGTGGTTTAATTTAACAGGTGATAAAAATCATAAAGTGGTTAGATAACTGTAGTTCGCAGGTTAACTAACACAAAATGTACAGTAATTTAATACTTACTAACTTCACTATGTGGGTAGTTGGGCAATCATACATTTTTTTATTAATTATAGTTTTTTATTTGCTGCAAAAATCATGTATGCATCCCCTGTGAATTATTAATGTTTAAGGAGAATAATCAATATTAGAGATTGAAAAGCAACCGTTTTGTTAAAGAATGTATTTTCGTTTCGTCGCCGACAAAGTTGTTTATAAGTATGCAAGTGATTTTTTATTGAGTATGTTTGTCGTATGTTCTTTTTGCACATGCTTTCTTAAAAATAATTAAAATAAATTGCATATTATAATTAAATCTGTCTTTTAATACATTTGTGATGCAATCATTTTGTTATAAAATTGGTTATTATCATTTCAAAAATGATTGAATGAAGACAGAGAGTGCATTTTTGAGAATAGAATAATTTTAGGCTATTGTTAATTTTCCTTAATAAGGTATTTATTTTAGTTATATGGATACAACTGTATACAATATACCCCTTTTTATATTATACATATTTGACGGTTGATTACATAGGAATATTGTTGAAATTCTCCCTTTAAATTTCCGTTTATAAAATACTACTGTGATGCCTAAATGAATTTGCTTATGAATCAACTTTATTAGTGTATCTTTTTTTATTAGCAACATTATTTTATAGGTTTTCCTTTCATTTAGTTTAGTTTTCAATTCAATTTCAGTAACTCATTCTAGTGATGAGAGTAATGTTTATTATATTAAGACGAAACGCAATTTCCGGAAACAAGTCGAATTAAAATATGTTAATACTCCATATAGCAAAATGCTATTATTCTTCTAACATAACTAAAACTGATAAAATAAATGATAGTTAATTACTAAAACATTGAATTATGGACTTGTAGAAAGATCACCAGCGTTTTGTCTTATTCTCGAAGTACAAAACACATAGACTACCTTATATTTCTTAATTTTTTACTCTTCCTGGAAATCATATAGGCCCAATTGATATAGATATATTATTGTAGAGGATCAAATAAATTATTTAACTGAGAGTATATGTTTATTTTCGTTACTAAGAAATTATTTATACTGCAATGGACATATTATAAACTTATCATGTAGACAAATTGGGCGGTATTAATTTCCAGGGCGAAGCTCAAATCCCCCAAGACTACACTAAAACAAATTTGAAGCTACAAAATCATTGGATTTTCGGCGTGTATGTAGTAGCGTTCTTTATTGTCAACTGTCGCATTTGCTGTACTTATAAATTTACTGCGCTCTATTGTCTTTTAACCACTGCTGTGTGCAATTGTCCCAATATGTTGTGTATTGTATTGTACATTGTATTAGAAGTATATAAGTGAAGGATCAGTAACATCAACTAATGCTGATTACTTGTAATGTATCATGTTTAGTTTATAATTATGCTTTCGTTATTATTAATCGTAAATAATTTACTTAGTGACAATTTCTAAGATTAAAAATAATGTCCCGCAGGTTACTTCAAAATTAATTCAAATCATGTTATAACTTTTATATGATATACACAACTGGTTTGGGTGTGTCTTACACCATAATTCGCATTGCTTTATTATTGACACAGGTGAATTAAGACTTACTTGTAAGAGGAATAATTATAACTTTATGTCTACTTAATGCAAGTGTAAACGTTATAGAAATCTCGCACTGTTCGGTCAATTTTGTAAAAAATAAAGTAATTTGATTTGATTATTGTTTTTTATTATATTGATAGGCAGGCCTTATAGGAATTAAAATAAACTCAAATATGCAATAAAAATAAATTATATAATTTCACTTAAATACAGTAAAATTGGTATCATAGTTAACAAAATCTTATAAACACTGAAAATATTTAGCATACTATACGTATTTTATGAACTGGCGTAAAGCGATGACATCTTGTACCTTGAACCTGAAATGGAAGTAAATTATTTTTATATAAAATATAGAAATTGCGTAGCATAAGACAAATAAGTAAACCACCCAGAAAAAGAAGAAACAAAAAAAAATGTTTTTGCTATATTAAATCTTTTCAAATAACGCCATTAGCTGCTTTATAGGTACATTTATTAGTAAAACTAATTCTACGGCCTGCTCAAACAAACGACGTGTAAAGTGACGAAGCTATTCATATTAGTACCAAGTTAACAACACTATAAATTGATTCTTAATCGAGGAAAACTGCGTGCTTGTTTGCCACTACTAGTCTGATCGGCGAGAGTAATAAATATGAAAACGTCTCACAACTGCGACTGTCGGTTATGTATTGCAATCTGAGTGACGGGCGTCATTTAAAGCCGTGCTTGCGGCGTTAAATGACGCCCGTTGTTTGTTGTAAAAAGTTCGTAGCGGTAAAGGCCTGGCCGGATAAATCGACGCGGCGACCATATTGTTATTCCGTTCTGAAATAACTAGCAGGCCGCAATTAGTAATGAGTTTAGTAACTCTGCTTTATTATCAATTTCCACCGAACGGACTATATGAATGCAAAACAATTTGTTCCAGCACGTTCTTGCTGGCGATGCAAGACTAAGACTTTTTAGTACCCTCTCGAAACACCATAACCTCACTTTTCTTTATATTATATAGGAGGTCATGAAACATAGCGTATCTTTCACACACTCCAAGCAGATGTCTGAGTGCATCGAGGGACTCGGTACTACCATATCATCTGCATAACATAAGTTATTTATTATATTGCCGTCAATGCTGCATCCGATACCGGTGCTGCTAACTTCGATTAAGTGATTTATGTATAGGTTAAAGAGCGCTGGGGAGGTCAGACCACTCTGCCTCACTCCACACTCCACTCCAATACGTCTCAGACAATGCACCCGACCATCTGACCTGGTTAATTTGATGATCGTACCAGAATTGAAAAAGGTTGATCAGCTATTTAGGTACACCTTGCTCAAATAATTTTGACCATAAGATCTTATAATTAACCAAGTCAAAGGCCTTAGAGAGATCTAAAAATGCAGCATACGCAGGTGTATTTCTATCGGTGTAGTACCAGACTGTGCGCTGACTGTGTGCCAAAATAACAGTTTTAGTAGACAGCCCAACTTTAAAACCGAATTGAGCATCATGTACATTTAGCTGTCTAGTCACTACGCTGAAGAATACCGTCAAGAACTGTTACAGTAGCCAAGAAGATTGGCCTATAATTATCCATTTCTGAAGTATCACCGGTCTTATTTTTAACTATTGGTACAACTATCGTTCTCATCAATTCAGTAGGTAGATACGAATGCCTTACACACAAATTGAACAGCATTGTTAGTACCCTCCGTAGATGCGGAGCCACATGTTGCGAATTTTCTATGCTTAGGCCGTCATTACCCGGCCCCTGGTCATAGACGTTATAATGCACTATACCTCTCTTGGCGAGATGCTAATAGGTTCATCACGCATTTCACTCTCGTCTCCACACTCTCATATCCAGAAGGTCGTGAGGTTACTCCAAAATGCTTCATAAATATATCTGCAATCTCCCCAGGTTCAAGCCATTAACTCTCACCGGAGCGGCAGTTTTTGGGCTCAATCTCTGAGTAGACTTCCAAAATTTTTAAAAATATTTGTTCCTATACTCAGTTGCCAATATATTCATCTTAATTTGTTCCTCATTGTCTAGACAAAATTTTAACTTTTGCTTAAAAATTTTATGCGTCTCTGTCATTTCTACCAACATCTATCTGCCCAGAATGAGGTTTACCATGCCACACCCAGTTCAGAAAAGCCCTCCTAGCGTTTCCGTGAGCGCCTTTGACATACTTATTCCACCCTATCACTGTATGTCGACCTCTCTTATCTCTCACTATATCTGAACTGCCCTCTGCCGCTTCCCGAAGTGAAGTCACAATATCATTGTACATAGTGTCAATTATAGTCCTATGATCTTTGTTCTGACAGACATGATCACAACAGTTCCTTAGTTGAGAAGGGAAGTCTATTTCTTTAAGTTTCTCCATACACAACTTATAGTAACTCTCTATCTTATTGTCCTGTTTTACTGAATTATTTCACCCTAAAAATTCCGAGGTTAATCCGAATAGCACGTGGAAAGTGGTCAGACCAGAAAACATCTTCGTAAACTTTTACCATTTCTATTGCTTTTCATGCTGCTTTTCTATTTCTGCCATTTCTATTGCTACCACACAATGCCAACTTCTGCTTTCACAAAGATTACTGACAAAAGTATACGTGTCAGAATCGTGGCACAATGGCACCTCTGTTGATCACAAAAACCTAACAATTCCCGTGTAAATAATTCATAATGATGTGCATTAAAATCTCCAAGCATATATTATACAAAAAAAAAAACTAGGAAAAAATAAGCATGGCCGTCATTTGAATTCAATTATATTTAGTAACTCATATAACTACCAAGGTGGTCTGAAAAATTTCCGACCTCAACTTAAAGATGGCAGAACTCATCAATAAAACCAAGTGAATGTATCTATTGTCAGTTACGCACAAAATTTCAGTCATTTTGGACGCGTAGCTTCATTTGACAGTCGTTTGAGTGAGATGTGTGT